CACTACGAGCCAGCAGCACCTTCTTTTTTACCCAGACGTACCACGGGCTGGTGCCCAAGAGACACAAGACCTGGCTTTGTCCCCCGCAGACACCACCTCAGTACAGTAGACCCTGGATGCTTGTTCTAGAGCTAGAGCATCAGGGCACTGTTTTCGGGCCCAGCCCGATCGATCGTGTCCCTTTGGCGCAAACCATTCTCATCCGTGCACTCGGGCTGAGGTGGTTCGTATCAGACCGGGGTAGCCAGAATAGAGACGATCGACCGGCTAGCTCTCCGTGAAATCCTCAATGCAGAGCCAATCGCGTGTTAGCATTTTGGTGGGTTCAGCCTACCAAAGCCGTCCCGTTCCTTGTCCGCCCGCGGGCTCCCGTGGTCTGTGTTCACATCTAGGTACCAAACAATGATCTTCAAAGGACCAGATGCTGCCATTCCTGGGGCGCGACGTCTTGTCAGGTGAGATCTCGTCGAATCCAGTATGAACCCCATGCAGATCATTCTACTTTGGAGTCGCTGACATGTGGCATCCGATGCAGGCTGTCGTCTATCAAACTCGTTCGGAGGAAAGATCTCATCTTCGTTGTCCTATCGCATCTCCAGACTTTCCCCAACTGCGGCTGTGCGCGCCTGGGGGGTTCTCTCTTTGTTGCAGGCTCACCAAGTGGCTCAGTTTGAACCACTTATCCCTTCTCCGTTTTCTCGAAGCCCAACATCATCAATCACACCTGACAAAATCCCAGATTTTCCCAACAGCTTGGAGAGATCTGCAAATGTACCTCAAAAAAAAAAAAAGCAAGCTTGTGCAGAATGTGCCTGAAGAGACCGCTGCGCCTTGACCCCCGGCATCCTAAATTCATCAGCGAGTCGAGAAAAGCTCTGTGCGTTTCATTGCATACGATTAAGCTTCACCCGTGGTCCGAACACTGCCCCACTGTCCAGGCCACTGCAAGAGTTACGATTGGTTGCTCAGATGTGCTCCAATTCCTCTGCGTCGCTTCCTCCCCTTACTTTGTTTTCCGAGAGGCATGTCAAGCTCAGACCTAAACTGTGGTTCCAACCAAAACAGAAACGGCAGGAAACCCTTCCACCACGGGGAAGTCCAGTACTGGACAGACGGGCTGGCGAACTGTTTCGCGTCTGCTCCAGACAAGTATCTGATGCGATGTGAGCTGGCTCATTCTCATCCAAGATCACACAACCGTACGGCGTGTCTAAAGTGACGATGCCAGCCCGGAGTCCGGATGTCTTCTTGGTGCAACATTATTTCCGTTTCCAGGGTAGTCGCTGAAACCAAACGCTGGTCCGAGCTCACGAGGTCAGTGAGCTTCACTGTACAAATTTCTCACTGACGAGTCTGGATCCTAGCAAGACATTGCTCAACACTACACTGAGCAGCTTTGGGAAATCTGACGCTGATTTATTCACGAGAGGCACGACAGGTGTGCTCACAAGTCTTCATCAATATGATTCTAGCATTCAGCGGTATCCCAGGCTGACAGCCTACTTGGCACTATTGTGTGTTTATGACAAGTCAAGACTCAGTGCCTTGGTTCACACGAGCCGGTGGTATCTGCACTCTCCAGCCTCAAACGACAGAATCATAAGGATATGCGTACGAGTGTTTTCTAGCTTACGAGGACTTGGCATTCAGCCGACCTTCCATCTGAGAACCAAGAGCATGGTATTGGTGCCCTCGTTGACAAGGTCAACCTGCCGTCTGTTACATACACGATTCTGACTGGCCGGAGCTAGTACTCCTACACTGAAGGTCGAGTCGAGGACAAGCAGCGATCTTCTGGGGTTCTTCCCTTCTCAGAATATCGCCCCAAGTGTACCAACCTATCAGTCGATGGCTAGCTCGAAGTCTGAACTCTGGTTCTGAAGAGCGTCCGGTGTCAGCCAACAGGGAGGTGTGCTGGGAGGCTTTCTCACGTTCTTGAAGCTCAAGGTACCACAGATACTTCCCAAGATAGCATATATCCGTACTATCTTAATGGACGTACTGGAATGAAGACTTCCCCTCAGTCTTGTCGCTCTCGAAACGCTCTCCGTCCAGGAAAGCAGTCATTGGCACGAGATGTAGTTCATAGAAGGCAGCTGTGAAACAATGAGGTCCCTTGAAACAGTGGAATACGAACTCGGTCGGTGCTTTCAGGAGAAGGTTTTACTCCTTGGCCCACGGATCATGGCCCCTTTGACAGGTCAGTGAGCGCTAAGTCCAGTGGAGTGTCCAATCATGTACCCAAAGCTAGTGACTGTCGAAGAGATGGTGCGGTACTGGCTGTATGGTACTGCTTCGCGATGGAAACACGCATGGACCCAGAGGTCATTCAAAGTCCAACCCTTGAACAAGTCTGATCCTATATGCTATTCGGCCACGAGGTGATCTTTTCATTCGAATGCGACTACGGGACGAGATGTCCCAAGTCTGTCCTGAGAACAGGCAGCTCTGGGTTCAAAATCAGAGTTGCCAAGATGACGTTAAGCTCATCTGAAGCCATCTCATCTTTTTCTCGCACAGCCAGATTAGTCTGAATTCAATTGGAATCGTCGTGACTATATGCTCGCTGGATTCGCGTCGTTTGACTCCACCCGTTTACTACTATCAGACAGGTTTACATGTGCTGGTAGAAAGTTTGATCGAGTAAGGTCAAATGCACCATCACTCTTTGAGCTTGGCATTGATATGATTTTGGGTTTGCTATTGGTGTTGTTCTAGATAGCATGAGCTCCTATATTTGTACAGCCAAAGGCCTCAGTATCCTCCGGGTTCATTTATTCATCATCTGACCTGCCTCAACCTGCGATTTGCGTATGACAGCGCTCTTGGTCTCCACCGTCGTATGGCGACATCCAGGTCAGAATTTCGATCCAGAGAAGTCTCTCACATGACATTACCTAGGTAGTCATCTTACTGATATGATCTCCAGACACAAACAGGAAGGGGGGGGGGGGGTCCACCGCGGTAGAACTTCCAGATACTCCCAAGTGCTAGAGGACACCGAGATTCGCTGGGGGAAGATGATACAAACTGCACTAAGAATCTCTCGCAGCGTGCAGTCAACGTGTTCCGACTGGGAGCAGCGGTGCATATTGTATGAAGCCAGCCGCTCTTGGTGTTACGACATGCTTCTTGTGTTACTGTTGCTATGCAGAGCGCACACAATCAGGATAACATGCGCTGAGTTGCGACTAGAATAGAAGTCTGGGCAACTTCATAAGGTGGAGGTGATGACGACCGTGATGATGAGGCCTCTGAATCAGAGAATTAGGGCTGAGGGCGGACAATGTGTGATAGCAGGCCACGAGCACCGGCTCAGCTCGTGTACCAAGGCATGTATGTATGTGCGGTGGGAAACGACAGCGTGAGTTCCTCCGCGAGGTCACTTAGACTACTTAAGTTTTATAATGCGGCGCCGGAATTGCAGTCTCGAGACAATCGGATCGCGGGCCGACAAACCCTTCAGCAAGATCACCGTCAAGTTCTAAGGTTACCAACTACCGCCGGGCTAGATGTGGTATCTAGGTATCTACTTGACCCCTTCTACCAACATCTCCTTGTTCCCTTTTCCCTTTTCCTTTCCCCTTGTACCTCGTGAGTAATCCAGGACTTTGGAGCAGTCTAGATAAAACTGAGCTACCGACGAAGTCCACCAATCGAGCATCCGTAACACTGCAGACAAAAAGCCGTGGTTTGAGATACCTACCAGCGCGGAAGAAGGACGCGCACTCGCCCGTCCACCCGAAGCTGCGGTGCGCCTCCTCCAGCTTCGGAGCCCTTCTCCCTATCGGGTGCCGGCATGGGTCTAGTGAACGATCCAGCATGAAGGGAGCGGTGGGAGTGGTTCTACTGGTGAGGTCTGGGGCCCGACGGCCAGTCTTTCCTTGTGCAAAGAGGGGGTATTTGGGAAACCACAGAGGGAAGTGCTTGCTATCTGGGGGTTAGATAGTGGACGCACAGCTGCCAGTTGTTACTGGTTTTTGCTACAGCGCTGCATCGGTTTGAGACACTGGGGCGTAAAAGGTTCGTTACCCTGTGTATTCGGAAGTATCTAGCAAACATATCATTGGCCGCCTCACTCAGACCTCCTTGAATAGAAAAGAGGGAGAGCAAAACCCATGGACATTCGGAGCAGTAATCCGGCTATGTGTGCTAAGCAGTCGTTTGCCATAACTTCAGCAAGTCCCTTGTGCCTTGCCGTTACACATTAACAAGATCTACGGGGAAGGGTAGCTCAGACTTTCTGCCGGTAAAGAGACCTACTTGTACCATGGCATAAGCAGCGTACCACGGCATGGCTCGGATCCTGCCTGATAGTACTGCTTAGAATTGTGTACTGGGATGATGATCTGGTCCTTGAAGCATACTTGCTGGCGTTTAACTGCGATCCACTGCAATTAAACACCCGTAATGTCTTGCGTGTAAAGGAGGTATGCCATAGTGATGATACATATCAATACAACCGCACCCTTCGCGGTTGCAATACCCAGACGTATTTATATAGAATCACGGACAACAGTGCAACTCAAAGGTGCGTCGAAAGGTGCAGCGGATTTGCTCTCACAACATGCAGGCCACAATCACTCATGGAACACGGGAAATTGAGTCAACAACACATGCAGGCTTTTTTAAAAGAGGTGAAGTGAGAATAAGATCAGATTCAACTCGACTAGATGAGATGTAGCCCGGGGGTATCATATCAGGCTCTATAGCCAACCTTCAAAACAAAATTAAAGCTCGTCCTCACTGTCGTCGATGAAGATGGACGAGATGAGCCTACCGCCATTCCTTGGCTGAGTCGCCGTGGATATGCGGCTGTCCTCCTTCTTCACATGATGCTCGTCTTTGACTTCAACCTGGACTGTTTCGTCTTCAAGAGGGTTCTTCGTCTTGATGCCGCCAAGACTCCTGTCATCATCCTCTGGCTCAAGCTTGACCATTTTCGACTCTTCGACCTCATTAGTGCCGTCGACCTCAGCCTTTAGAAATGCGAGCTTCTTCTCGTCCGCGTCTTCGTCCTTCTTCAACTCATGCTCGAGCAGTTGTAACATACGCTTCTTGTAAAAGGAGTCAAGAGCATCTCTTCTCCTTTCCTGAGTCATCTGCTCCACCACCAACGCGAAAGCTGTGGCACTTTCAAACCCGAATTCCTTTGCCATCGAGCAGAACTGCCTGAGCTTGACATCTTCTGGTGGTTTGAATCTCGGTGCAAACGAGGCGGCTTCAGTTCCAGCAACCGCCTCGTTCGGCCCCTCTTCCGCAAATAGGGCGCTTTGGCCCTCGGGATCATCGAGATCCATGGCGTCTGCTAGCTCTGCGCGCCGTGAGAGCTTTGCTTCCACCTTGCTTGACCCGATCACCTCTGAGTTCTCGTGGGTGTACTGCACACCAGCTGACGCCAGAATCGCCTGGATAGCGTCGCTTTTCGGCTTGTCGAACGCTTTCTTCTTAATCGGTCCTCCGCCGTGTTCAGCCTTGATGAGCTCGGCAAATTGACCCCATCCGCCATCGTCCTCTGCAGCGTCTTCCTTCTTGATGACTTTGAAGTCCTCGTCCCGCTCAGCCTTCTCCACATCTATGTCTGCCATTTGGACACTCACTCGAGCCTCGGCAATATTGGTCTGGTTCATGATTCCTTGCAGTACGACTTGGTCGCTGTGAAAATTGAAGAGATTCTTGAGGCCAAACAATTCGCCTTTTCGATCTTTGTCCTGCTGGATGCCCTTGAAGTAACGGCGCTCGCTAGAGGCATTGTAGCCAATGTTGGCCTGCTGCTGCTTGTAGATTTGTCGGGCATAGACAATCTCCTCGATTGTACCCGCAGAGACCAGCCTGTAGACCTCGACATCCCGCAACTGGCCAATTCGGTATGCTCTATCCTGGGCTTGTAAATCATAAACCGGGTTCCAGTGCGGATCGACAATGACGACTTTGTTGGCAGCTGTGATATTGAGACCCACGCCTCCGGCCTTTGTCGAGATCAAGAAGACAAACTTGCTGGGGTCGGAGTTGAAATCGTCAACCTCTTTCTGACGATCGTCATAGGACATCTGACCGCTTAAAAAGCTAACAGTATAGCTAGTGCTCTTGAATAGAGTCTCGAGAATGTGCAGTAATCGCACGCTATGAGAGAAGACAAGGACCTTGTCCTGGTTGCTGTACCAGAGACCAAGAAGCTCCTTCAGTATCTTCCACTTGCCACAGAAGACAGGATTCGACAGGACCTGAATTGAATTCCGCTGCTGGTACAGCGTCTCCCAGTGCTTTGGGGCGCACCGCCTGAGCAGCTTGATAGCTGCTTTTCTCTTCTCTAGATCCGTCTGTTCATTCGGTGGAATCAAGAGAGTAAGGTGGTTCGACAGCTTTTGCAAGGCCTGTATGCATGGGAAGACCAATGCCATCCAATACTTTCCTATACCATGCGCATGTTACCATTTGCTCATGTATCGGGGGAGAATAGTGAACGAGCCTCGGGTCACGTGTGCTAGATCACCAGGCATGGCTAACTGCTGTTTTCGAAAGTCCGCGACTGATGCTGCAAATCCACAACGCACGCATTACAAACACGAAAGGGAGCGTGACATACCATCCGAAGTCAACTTGCCACAACACCAGCCTTGTTTCTTCCCTGAACCACAGGTGCACTCTTCCATGCTCGAAAGGATGGTCTGTATCTCTTCACCCTCGAGGAGCCGCTGGTAAGCGTCTTTCTGGAGGTCCGTAAGAGGACAGAAGATAACACGGTCGGTTTTTTTGGGCAGCTGATGAGCGATCAGCGCCTTCATCCGGCGTAGGAAGAAATCAGGTAAGAGGTTTTGGACAAGCTTCTTGGCTGTCTTCCTTGCAAGGCTCAGCTGATGCCAGGTGGCGTCATGGGATTGTCCGCGCGTGAGCGGCTTGACGATTGAATGATCCCATTCACGCAGGCTGCCAAAGTGGCCGGGATTGGTCCAGTTGAGAAGGGTCCAAAACTCTTCGTACTTGTTCTGAATGGCTGTTCCTGTGAGACCGATACGGCAGAGTGCGTTGATCCGGTTCATGGCCTTGGTGGTGGAAGTACGGCGGTCCTTGATCAAGTGACACTCGTCGGCAATCACGGCATCCCACTCGACCGAGTTTACCTTGTCCTCATTCTTGGCATAGGTCGTGTAGGTCGTCAACATGATCTCAATTGCACCAGCACGTGCTGCTCGCAAGGCATCTTCCTTCCCGCTGTCATGGTAAACATCTATCCTCCACCAGCCCCAACGCTTGAGTTCGCTCTTCCAATTTGGAATCAGAGATCCAAGACAAACGACCAGAACTCGGGGGTACCATCGTGATGGGTCTCTTCTCATCTTTCGCAACCTCTTGGCATCCCTCTCATCGCCCGTCTTGCCAAAGGCGGCGGTCAGGAATGCAGCAACCTGGACTGTCTTGCCCAACCCCATGTCATCGCCGAGGATTGCGCCTCTTTGGTAGACAAAACGTTCATGCAAGAACTTGACGCCCTCAACCTGATAATCGCGAAGGTATTGGGCAATAGACGCAGGTATGAAACCAGCAGAAGATTCCAGGACAATGTCCCTGTACGGCCTGCATGGTTGTATGTGTTCGAGCTTTGGTCGTTCCTCAAGCTCCCTGGGATCCCTCTCATCGTCCGAGAAGTATACACCTTCGTAGTCAGGGGGGAGCTTGAGGCCAGCCTGGCCGAGTGCTTTTGTGTCCTCGTCGAAGTGTGCGCGCCGTTCGAGGATGTGTGGAGGGACGTCGACCTCGTCGGTGCCTTCTTCGGCCTCCTTCTCTCCATCGCTTTCATCGACGCTCTTAGTTATGCCTTGTAAGCTAGGACAGGAGACAGGCTTCGAGTCATTCTTGTCCTTATCCTTTTCCTTTCCATTGCTCTTGCCCTTGCCCTTGCCCTTTGTAAGCCTACTCGTTTTGGCCCGTTTTGGTTTCCTGCTCTGCAGCCACTTCTCCCGCTGGTCATCAGGCTCGTCCGCCCAGACGTCGACGTCCTCAAAGCCTTGCTTGCGCTTGCGCTTGGGAGAGGTGACGACCGAATCTTGCATCTCGCCGGCGGAGGACGCCGTCTCGTCGTTGTCGCTTATCTCGACGAGCTTACGTGGTGGTCTGCTCGAGGTTGCCATTGTTCTTTGGAGGTTCTTCGACGCGTGTGCGCGGTTACGTCGATGGTAGGATCTGCTGGCCGTCTTCAGACTTGGAGGCAACTGCCGCAACACCTCCTGCGTATGTTCCAATCATTCCAATGTCTTCTGGTGGGCATGATGGACGTCCAATGCTGTCGACAGATTGTCACGGGCCAAGGAGGCTGTGTTTGTTGTCACAAATGGTCTCGGCGAAGCACTGGCGTGATGTAGTACTGAGAAATCCATGCTATAGTACTTAAACCGACCTAGGCCTGACGCGGTAGCACGTGCTGTTTCTTCCCGGCTACGGCTATGCGGTATACTATTACAAGTACTCTAGCGCCTGAACAAGCACTCTACGGCGGATTGACAATCTGGAGAAGTGGCCCCCCACTTTGCTTAGTGCCCTCCCCCCCCCCCCCGGCGGCACTTGCAACCTGTAAAGCCGAGGTTGTATGCTAAGTGCACCACGGCTTGGCGCCTCTTATATGTCTGCTCAGCCATCCCCAATTTCTAGATCTTGAGAATATGCTGCAGCAAGTGTAAACGACCCAGTATACTCATGATGGAAGGAGCTACCTCGGATACAGGCTTTTTCCAGCAGCAGCCGATTCTGGAAAATCAGGCCCAATATGACCCAAGTTACCAGAGAGTTCTCAAATGTTCGTCCCACCTTGTCTTGGACTTTGGACTGAGTCAACATGACTCTTTTGGCAAGACATATATATACATATATGTATATACATATGTATAGCTGACCAATTATAGTATTCCTACCACCAGGAATTTTGCAGACCGTAACGCCGGAGCTCATAGCTCTTGGGGATAAGGTGCTGTCGCAGACCGTCTTCGACCTCATTTTCGATGCAGAAAGAAATCTGCCTCAACTCCGTGGCAGTGGAAGGGACAGCTTTGGTCGGCCCAGGAGTGACGCTCTCGTGCTGAGCCAAGGCTGGAGAGAGCTTCAGCAATTTGGTATACAGAACGGGTGCGCGTCCTAACCGCGTGGTCCAGAGTTGTCCGTTAACAGTCCAACAGAATTGTCGCGTATAACTACGATACCGACCACGGCCAATATACCAGAGTTGTACAAATGCTCAGGTAGGGCGCACATTCCTTCTGTCAGGCAGCAGTTGATACAATCCCCTCCTTGTGTGTGTCTTATTCGTGTCGACTTAACGAGCGATATGTCTCAGTCCTCTGATCACTCAGAAGGAAGACGCTGAGGCGGCAGTCTGTGCCTTTCCTTGTTCAGTTTCTCAACTACACGGGCCTGTTCGTTTGATAATGAACTTCACATGAGAGCACGCATTTCTTTTCTCCTTGTCTTCAAATACTCCGGACAAGGTTGACTCGGCGTTCTATCTATGTTGATCATGTTCTGCATTCAAAGTTCCAGGCTAGATGCTGTCATGAACAGTGGCTGATGATCTCCAATCACAGGTCAATCTTATGGGAAGCATCTTCTGCGAGTATGAGTACTCCATTCAACCTTGCTTGTGAGAGGCTACTGACGCTGCACAAACAGATACCACTTGTCCAGTCGCCATGACCGACGGCGCAGCTCGTCTTCTCCAGCAAAACCTCGCAAAGCCCACTCTTGACCAGACCCGCCGGCGCATCTTCCAGAATGCCTACGACCATCTCACCTCACGAGACCCAGAGACAGCCTGGACAAGTGGGCAATGGATGACAGAACGGCCAGGGGGCAGCGACGTATCTCAGACCGAGACAGTCGCGTCCTATGCTCCCTACCCAGACAGCAGCACTCTGCCGCTCGCAGATGCCAACGAGAGCATTCCTCTAGGACCCTGGAGCATCTCCGGCTTCAAGTGGTTCTCCAGTGCGACCGACTCGTCCATGACGGTCCTGCTCGCCAAGACATCCCCTGACAAAGGTGTCTCTGCCTTCCTCGCGCCCATGCGCCGCCACAGCGCCGACCTCATCTCGCCGACCGGCCAGCGCGGCGGAACAGAGCTCAACGGCGTCCGGATCTCCCGCCTCAAGGACAAGATGGGCACCAAGTCCCTCCCCACCGCAGAGCTCGAGCTGAAGGGCATGCGTGGCTGGCTCATCGGCGAGGAGGGGCGAGGCATCCACGAGATCGCCACCATCCTGACCATCACCCGAGTCCGCTCCTGCATCGGCGCGCTGGGCTACCTCGGCCGCGGTCTCGCCGTCGCCAAGGCTTACACGCTGGTCCGCCAGGTCGGCGCCACGAGGGGCAGGCGGATGCTGCTGTGCGAGAGCCCACTGCATATGCGCACGCTCGCCACCATGACCAGCACGTACCATGCGATGATGCTGTTGACGTTTTACGCGACGTACCTGCTCGGACTCGAAGAGACGTCACCAGCAGCAGCGGAAGTTGAACACAGCCCACCTGGGGGCTTCCAGCCGCCGCCGCCGCCGCCGCAGCACGTCGGCCCTTTGCTGCGCGTTCTTTCGTCCCTCTGCAAGGCCTATATATGCAAGCATGCTATTCCCCTTATGTACGGGTGCATGGAGGCGCTAGGTGGCGTCGGGTATCTCAACAACACCGAGTCAGAGCATCTCAACCTCAGCCGCATCTTCCGCGACCTGTGCGTCCTCGCGACGTGGGAGGGCACCACAGACGTGCTCTCGACGGACCTGCTGCGGGCGCTGAAGCATCCTCGGGAAGGGAAGACGAGCATGGAGGCGCTGGGCTGGTTCCTGGAGACAAACAGGCCTGCGCCGCGGGCTCGGGAGGCCTGGCGGGAGATCAGGGCGAGAGTGGAAAACAAGACGCAGGACGAGCTGGTCGCTGAGGCGAGAGACATCTGTTTCGGTCTGGCCGAAGTTCTGATGGCGGCGCTGCTGGAGGTGGATGTCGAGAGTGACGGGGACGCAACGGCCAAGGCCATGCGGGACCGGTTCCTAGGACAAAGGCGCTTTCTCGAAGTCGGATCTGCCGAGCCTGTCATTGCTACGAAAGACATGTTGCAAGTCGACTCGGCTATTGTCTTTGGCAAGCAGACTTCAGCAGAGATATTCAGGCCTGGCTCGAGATTGTAGATCACAGAATTTCATCTGAGGTGTTGTGTACCCATGCATAGTTAGGAACTCATTGATTTTATACGGTGAGGAACGCGACCTAGCAGACGTGAGCTTCGGGAACAACATTATACACTGAAGCACCGTCAAAGATAATCAGGGCTGAACATGTAAGCACAGGAATCAGTAAATTGCAAAATGCCTTGGGATCCTTTCTACTCATGCAAGGTTGCCAATTGGAACGAGCGTAGTCCAGCGTCTGACCTGGTTCGATAATTGTTGGTGAGGTGCCTATATAGCATTTACCTGAGCCATTTATCTGCCGCTTGTCATCATAGTACATGATGAGTGTCTCACTGACCAAGAATCTTCACAACCATCGCCTTGCAGATGGGGTGGTAGAAGTCCTTGTTCTTCTCGAACGTGGCCAGGGCAAGCGGCCGATCCACCTTGTTGAGTCCGACGTACAACGGACGCACGAACTTCATCCTGCCCACCTGGCCCAGGAGCTCCGCGACAGGCTCGTATGTGCTGGTGACCTTGCTCCTCAGCGAGACCTCAAAGTAGGCCGTCTTGACCTCCTTGTTCTGAGATTCATTGAACTTGTAGACCTGACCCATCTTCTCGACCTGCTCTGCGCTCAGGGGCTCGGCGAAGGCTTGAACTGTCTGCAGGAAGACGAGCTTCTGATTGGCGCTGAAGGTCTCAACGTCCTGGGGGGAAGGAGTGTAGCTCTTGGAGGTAATGTCAGTGAGGTTCGCAGATGTCGACCAAGACCTGACCCCGAAGAAGAAGAAGAAGAGAAGAAAAGATGAATAGACTGACCTTATCCTCCCACTGGGCCGCCAGCTTGTAACAGACGTCAATAAGTGAGGTATCGAAGTCCGGCTTGGGCGGCATTCCGCCATTGTAGAATCGACCCTCCCAGTCGATCTCGGCAATTTTTTCCTTGAGATCGGCGAACTCGGGCTTGCTGAAGAACTCGAGGAATGTCTCCTTGAACTGGTACGAGTCCAGAGACTTGTTTGCCCACGTGGTGAAATAGTAAGGGATGAACTTGTCAAAGTTCTGACGACCCACAAGCCTGTCGAGATACCAGACCATGTGGAAGCCCTTCTCGTACGGAACCTTACTGAAACTATCATCCGGGTCAATACCCTTATGAGGTATCAACAGCTGAGTGTACGGGTGGTCCTTGCCGAGATCATCGATAGTCCCTTGCAGGTCCTGCCAGCCGATGACGGCAGAAAAGTCGAAGTACGCAGCGCCATGGACAGCCGCGAGGATGCGACGCTCCAAGTATGTTGTCCATCCCTCGTTCAGCCAGCTAGAGTCCAGTCAGTGCTGATAGGGTTCATCGTGTGAGGGGGCTGGGCACCGGGCTTACAAGTGCTCCCAGCTGCAGCTTGTCACCAAGTTGCCGCTCCAGCTGTGAGAGAGCTCGTGTGCGATGACATCCACGTTCTCACGGTCTCCAGAGACCTGTTCATACACATGTGTCAGTCTCAACCCCGGTCTTTTGAACTAAGAGATATATCATAGAAGTGAAGACTTACCACGGTAGGGGTAGCGAAAGTATAGATGGGGTTCTCCATGCCTGCACAGTTCACCACCGTTAGCATCGCCGGAGACTGAAGCCGCGAGTCTTGAAAAGCTCACCTCCATAGGGGAAAGAAGGCGGCAGAACCAGCACATTGTACTGTCCCCACTTATACGGGAACACAATTCCCTCAATGACCTCCATGAACTTTTCAACATCCCTTTCGAATTCCCACTGACACGCCTTCAGCGCATCCGGGCTCGTAGCCACATACGACCGCGGGCCAATGGGCGCCTGGGCAATGTCCCCGGAGGCCAGGGCGAACAAGTAGCTCGGGATTGGCACCTTCTGCTCGAAGACATACAACTTCTCCCCGCCCTCTCTCGCCTCGGGCTCGCCGTCAGCCGCAACACCGCTGGCGACAACCACATACGGGCTCGTGATGCGGAACGAGTAGGTTGACTTGACGTCAGGCGTGTCCTGGCACGGGAACAAACTCCGTGCATGGATCGCCTGGCACTGGCTGAACATGAACGGGGCCTCCTTGCTGGACGTCTGCTCGGGCGTGAGCCACTGAAGAGCGGTGCATTGGGCCGTCGTCGCAACCTCGATGTCCACCTTGACCAGCTCGCCCCTAGCGGCACCAGAAGGGACCGAGATGTGCATCGGGGAGCCAAGGGGCTCAGCCCGGTCCTTTATGGACCATTGGGAGTCGGCCGAGTTGACCTTGACAGAGGACACGGAAAGGTAGCTGCTGTCGAGGATGATCTCCTTGCTGTCCTTGTCCGTCTGGGACTCGAGCTCCAGAGTGACCAGCCCGCGCAAGGACTTCTCCTTGAAGTCGATCTTCAGGTTGGCGGTGGTGTGCTTGGTCCGCCAGGCATCGTAGTTGGCCGACGTAGAAGGGTCACGAGCGGACATGTTGTTGGGCTTGTAGAAGAAGCGAGCTTGAACTCGAACCCGAACAACGAAGGGGGAGAAGTGCGATGGGGCTTTGGCCGGGTAGGCTTCTGGAGGCGTGAAGGTGCGAGGAGGGAGCTTGACCCTCTGCAAAACACAAGAGCCCCTCAGCAACATGAAGATTTCTCGTGATCGCGGCTACAAGCGGCGATGGTCTCACGAGGCTCCATCACCTTGCTGCCGAGTTTATCGCCTTCCTTAGCTGGAACAAGAATATTTATTTATTTTCCCGAGGCACTAAGCCCATTAAAGTAATAACCGTTCCTTCCCTTGCGACATGGGAAGGAGCAAAATCGACAGAAGAGTCCCAAAACAAGCCTAATTAGGTTAGTCTATGTTCGCACAAAATCAAACCCCGCACATCAGGAAGGCAGCTACCAGTCTGGCCTTAACTTGATAGAGAAGGCTGTGTTTGACCAAGCTTATGTAATCAAAGCCACTGCAATCCCACGATCCCTCGTTCCTCTCTCTCTCTCTGTGCAGTGTGTCTTGTCCGAGTCTCGAGCGTGCAAGCCTTTCGAGTCGCTCATACAGTCTCTTCATCTCACGCCCATCACACACGCCCACCGCCCCCCACCCTCCCCTCCCAGATATTGATTCCAAATGGATCGAATTTGGGATCCCAATAGAGGCATTAAAGACTGAAAAGTCGGGCAAGAAACACTAATGGCCTGGCGGCCCCGCGAAACATGTTTCAACCTCCTGTGCCTTCATGCTTTCGTCTCTCGGCACGTTGGGGGGCGATCACTCTCTGCAGTCGGACGAAACGCAAGCATTGACCTCATCAGCTCAGGCCTTAGTCGTGCACGCCCAGCTGTCTTGATTTCTTGCTGGTTCCAAGACGTTGCGGAACTTTAACCGTGTGGCCGCCGTGGAAGTATGCAGTCTACCCGGCACGATCAACGATACCTCGGGCTTCCTTGCCAATCAACGAGAAGGAGAGGGAAACGTCAGGCACCAGATGGGAGGGTCGTGAGGTGGCGTAGGGAGCAAGCAGCCCAATTCCCAAAGGAACCGAGTATAACATGTGCCGGTTGCTTGCTACCCCTTTTGTTTGGTCCGTCGCCAGCAGAACAAGGTTGCGGCGGAGGGTCTTCCTTTGGCTTCTGCCGTCATATGCAGCAGACGGCCCGCTGGTCTGATACTCGAAACCATTCAAGGGCCCTGCTAGTTGTGTGCCCTGACACGCCTCGTGGCATTGTCATCCCTGCCGTTTCGAGGCTGTCCATGCAGCTGCTTGCACCAACCTCCATCTCGTGTGAAGTGTTTGAAATCATCGCAGGCTTACCGGTCCTCCTCGTGTCCCAGAGGGCGGAGGAGATGAGAAGGAACGCCACATCAAGAGGCAGAGTAGTGCCTTCAGCACGAGAACAGACAAGTCATTTACGGGGTGTATGCTATTTTCGTCTGGTGCCTGTGCTGCTCAAGCTGTCTTCCTTCGTGCCTTGCATTGGTGTCGCATGGCTGGTGCGGGAAATGCCTGTGCAGCGCCGGAACAAATTACTGTACATAGTAGTGCTATGTGCAGTCATGATCTCGGCCATGTTACTATGCTAGGGATTTCAAGGTCATCTTGTCCGAGGCTGACAATGGCGGCCCACAACGAGGGATCACGAGGCGTGCAGACCTCTCCTTTCATTCACCTTACATAGGACGTGCATACAGGATCGGGCCCGTGCAATCTCGGCCGATACGCCCAGTGTCTCTGAGTACACAACGCTATCCATGCATGGTGCTGATTGATATGCGTTAGCCTTAGTGTCCGGTCTTGTCTACCACCCAACCCACGGACTTTTGCTAATTTGTTTCTGAGGTGGAAAGAAGGGGGGGGGGAGTCCTTCAGGAACTCCTCAGGGGAGGAGGTGAAATATGCGACCTTCTTGCATGTAGAGCCTATATCACGATTCCATTATGGCCGGCAATTATGAGGGACGCAGATCTTGGCCCCCTCCCCTTCCCACCCCCTTGAGATATCACTCGTCCTTAGGTAAAGGGCGACATTGTGGGTATATGCACACTCCTGTACCTGCCGCGAGACTCAGCCTTGAGAGGGTCGCGGAGCTCGCACGTGGGCATATACAATGGGTCCAGCGGGTCGGACTCGGCTGCACTCTCGCACGAGTCCTTGTAAGCAGTCCGGCACAAAACACAGGGCGTCCACCAAAAAAAAAAATAATTATACAAATAGTATCAAATATCACAATCTTTACGGTACGGGTGGAGGTATCTCGAGGAGGTTGACCCAAATCCGCCCCCGGCCCCCGGCCCTGGGTGAATGACATGGACGGCGTCTGGGGGTGGTTTCTTTTCGAAGACCCTCGCAGGTCCAGGTAGTGGTCCGCTTAACTAGGCCCGTGACAACTAGACGAAATTTGCCTCCTGCCGAGGCGTAATTATGTCGGCCGGGCGGACGAGAGACATCTTTTGGTTCGCTTAGAAATGCACTATGATCGAGATGCCCTCATATTACTCGCTCGGCTGCCGAAGAGCCACAGGAGGAGGAGAAGAAGAAGAAGAAGAAGAAGAAAAGAAAGCAAGAAAGAAAAGGGGGAGAAGATACTATGTAGGATCCGCAGGAACGGCAGTGCAGCAAAAACTCTCGTGGTTGGCAAACCCTCCCCCTTGTCTCAACCCCTTGCTCCCTGCACTGCAGTCTTGGCTGTGGAGCTAAGCTTTACGGCGACTAGGACGAAAGAGGCCCAGGCTGGTACCAAATTACGAGGGGGCCTTTTCTTTGGTTTGGAGACAGGCTTGCACTCTTTTTGCGACCCCAGCAGGGACGGCAACGACGCAATTTATGGGCGGGATGGGATGCTGCCCTTGTTTTTTGTTGTTGTTTTTATGGTTAAGGAGCAAAGGAAAAGCTTGGCGTCACACCGCATCCTCGCAAGGGCCTTTTCTTTGCTTGTTTGCTAGAGAAGAACGCCTCCAAAGGTATTGGGGAACACCCGGCCGCTTCTGCGCCTTTGGTTGCAGGGTGCGTTCACACCATCACCACACCACCTGCTACCGTGGTCCAAAGTCATGCATGTTCTGCAACCCCGCGCCGATTTTTGCTGAAACCGTTGCGCAGGGAATGTTTTCCTCCGAGAGAGAGAAGGAAGGAGAGAGAGAGTGAGAGAGAGTGAGAGAGAGATAAAGCAAGCGGGACGGATAAGATACGGGAGTACGGCACCTCAAAGGGTTCTGTTGTGCTGAAGATCATCGTACAACGATCAACCACATTCTTTCCCGTCAAGACTGCACAAGACGCATGTACGACGATAGTATGATTCAACACTGCAGCTGTGGGTGAATACCCTTGCGCTGCGGAACCTGTCTGAGGTCACTCATCTGGATACCATGTGCTATAGTATCTCTCCGACTGATAAGAGCTGTTATGGGGGTGGTCCTTTATTCTTTCCTTTTTTTACTCCTGGGGTGGTTTGTTTGTAGTCCGGTATTCCCTGCCAGTATGCAGCGTGCGAGACCATTGTCCACAAAAAACAGGCTGCGGGGACCTCTTGCATCGTGGTCATGTCGCAGGTAGAGAGAGCAGAAGGGGTGGGAAGACATTCATCCACTCCCCTGTCTTCCCCTCAACGGCTGGAGTGTTTGGCGAGAGGGCTATTGATGTAATTGGCAGGGGTGGTTCTGACACTTTGATGGACAGTTCCACGTTCCTGTGTCGAGGCTAAAACTTGCCGAGACCGGGGGGGCCCTTGATGAACTTTATTTCCAGATCGTTGTCGTTCTAGCCTTGAGGTTTCCCTCCGGCGGAGGAGGGGGGGGGCAACAACAAGGACTCCAAGGCCTGGGGGCCCTACTCGCGCCGCGGCCCTCCCACGAGTCGCTTGAATACAGCGGATATAGTAACAGTTGTATGTAGCCATGCTGCTACCTCCATAGTACTATACTTTACTATGTAGTACTAAGTAAGAGAATAGTACATTGGGCTCAGCTGGACATTCTATGATAGTGCTATATACTAGTAGCGGAACAGGTGTTGAGTGCGAGGAAGGTACATCCGCCTGGACGATCACTACGTGAGACGCCAAACAAACGTGGCTGGTATCTCTTGAAAGCTCCACCGTGGGCCAGATGATCGGATGGAGAGTGCTGTTGGTGGTGATGCTGCTGATTCTGTTGGCAATTGACCATAGTACGCTGCAGGTTGGATCATCGTCCTAAGTAGCCTGATGTATGTTCTGGTGCGGAAGGAAGACAGAGACAGAGTTAGACAGAGTAAGAGAGAGTGTGTGAGAGAGTGTGCGTGCGTGTGTGTGACTTGCATGCTGGACTCTCGTCCCGTGGGCGAGCGAGGCGAGGTGGCACGACAGTAGCCAGGCCCATCTGTCAAACAAATGAGTGCAAGGGTGGCAGGAAGACTTGCACAATGTCTTCCCCGCTCCCAGCCAAGTACCCAATGGTGGCTTCGGCTTCGGGAGGCACGACGCATGGTTCCTTAGCCTGTGATGGTCGATAAGGGGCGACATTCGCATGATATCCCCCGTCCCAGGTCCGGACGACTCGGACGACTCACCGGCTCTGGCTACTGATGCTGAAACATCTTAGGGTCTACACCCCGCAGTCTATTGAGAAAGGGCTGCTGTGGGAGGTGGCCGCGCAGCGTATTGCAGCGAGGAGTCGAGGCCATGGGGAACTGTGGCTCAGGTGTCTTACCCTACCTATCGGCAGATGCGTGTGCATACTTGCCCTGTGTCCGGTGGAGATGACCGTCCTTTGCTCATGGTTGGGATGCCGGCACCAGGTTAGAGGCAACAGGATCGTCCCATCACTCCCCAAGGCGAAGAAACCACTGCGCAGTTGGGTCTGGACTCACATAGACTTGAATGTGTCCCCTGAACGAACCGCAGCCACTTCGGGGCAACCAGCCGAATACAGGTGGTATCGTGACGCATGAGAGCAAGCCACAGGAGGCTCGTGGTGAACCAGGCACTGCTAGGTCGACCCTGTCCCAAAGTATGAAGCTGGGTAACCCTGGCCCCTGCCCTGTCCCCTGCACAGCTTACCTAACTAAAAGACGCCCAGGGTTATGCTGACAAGTGCGGTACGAGAAATCGTCATTCCTTAGGTCGACATGGGCAGGCTGGTCGGAACAAGTCAAGCCAGTAACAAAGTTATGTGTAGTCCAGTGTCAGACAAGCAGATGACAAGACGTCTTGTAGCGCGCGGTGTCCTGGGCAAAAGGCTTGGTTCTTGTTCTGAAATATGGGCAAGATGTCAGCCAACTCGGTCGGACTTTTTTTTTTTTTGAGGGGGAGGGCACTATGTATGGAGTTAGGTCAGTCCACACCATGGAGGGGCGAAGATGAGTTTGTGGGGTGATAGCCGGACAATTCTGTTGGCCACGCAGAGGCAGGGTACGGAGAATTTAGTTGAAACAATGCAGACAGTACCTAGCTTTTGCAGTCCAAGTCAAGCACGACTGTTTCTTTTGCTCGTCAAGGTTGAGGTCGGTGTGCCAGACTTCCAATTGTTGTTTCTCACAGGCACGCAATGCGAGGTCTGGATGAAGACCAGAACACTACTGCCGGGCAAATGGCACCGCCATCAGCGTGCGAGGGCTAAGAGGAAGGGATGAGAGCTGGCAGAAAATGCACCTACGTACATAAGTAGTAGGTGCACGTTCAGTCATTGTCGCACTTTGCATGTTTAATCGCCCACATGCTGCAGGACGATTGCCGATCTTGAGGCCAACCATGCCCAAAGTGACTGGATCCGCCGCAGTTGCATCTCGACGTTGCAGCAATGCCTCCGTGGGTGCAGAGGGCGTGTGATGGTTCTTTCCGCAGTGGTAGCAGCAACATCACATTCGGTACCACACTAGAGTGCCGTGCACCGATATTTAGAATACACACAAAATATTCAAAGCGCAGCTGGGGGGGGGGGGGGGACATGTCATGAATCTGGCGACGGTTTCGAACGGATATCGCGCTGCCCCCTGCAGCGGGCTTCTATCTCGCATGTTGTTGATCACCTGTGCGCATCTTTGATCCCCCCTGTAGCATGGTAGCTTGGAGAACCCTATTTGTCGCTTCCAGACTCTTATGCTGGGGAGGGCTAATCCGTTTGAATGCCGATTGCAAATTGTGAAAAAATTGATGAATGATGAATTGCAAAGTTCTGGATCCTGATATGGTTGGGAAAGTGAAGGTGTCGAGGGCCCTTGCTACCGAACCCCCGAGCGCACAGACCAGCCGTTCACAAACTCTTAAGGGTTAGGGTCCCAAAAATCCGACTAGAAGGCGCTATATAGTACCCAACTCGTTTAGTCCTGCCGATCTCGGGTTGTTTTCCCACGTTTCCCCCCAAAACCCTTGCGTCTGTGCTGCAGATCATTTGGCATTACTCAAGACGCCTCCACTCAGCCAGCCACACTGGCATGATCGTGACAGACATTGTGACAATATACGAACTTGGCAGTCCGAGCTGCTGCACTCGTCCCACCTCACGCTGATGCTGATGGGCTGTTCCTTTGCACAAAAAGGCAACGCGCAGGCAGCAGTTCGCCCGACACACGACAGTAACTCTCGGTCGATTTCCGTCCTGACCACAAGGTACAGCGATACTGTCACGAATTCGAAGAGCCAGAAGATGATTTGGAAATTATTGAAGCACGAGCTGCCTACCAACAACCTGACAAATCCAACTCAAGTGAAACCAAGGCTTGGGGAGCCCCGTGGGTGGGAGTCAGCATCGACTTCCACAATTGAGGATTTGCCGAGCAACGAAAATTTGATAGCATACGCGGGTCCTCGCTTCACCACTACCGGCAGATGGATCACCTGTTATCTCCTACAGCAACTTTGCGCCAGGGATTCCAGTATCTCTTCTGTAACTTACCAATCGAAAACACCTATGCCTTCGAACTTCTATGTCCTCTCGGGCTTCCAGCGTTGTAGCCGGCCTCGGTGGAAGAACCCCCGCGACATCAATCTCAAATCAACCTATTACACAGGCATGACTCAGTCCTTCTGCCATGGACGCTGTTCTCTTTAACTCTGTCTCGCCATCACGTCTCTTGGGAAGATGCAGGCAATGCGGAGGATCGAGTAAGCTGAGCAGGCTGCCTGGAGCCTCAAACAAGTGGCATCTGCCTCGTCCAGCTCGATACGTTGTGCCACCCACATATCCGAGAAACCGGCCGCATGTCGAGAGACGGAAAATCTCGGACGAAGAATGAGCCCACGACGGCTAGGTTCACATCACCCACTGAGGACCTTGATGTGATGAAGAATACATGGGGCTAGAGCACGCTAGAATGCGCTCTGGCGTCTGGCTACTGGGCCTTGCGCAAGATGGCCTTCTTGTCACTGCCTCGGATGGCCCAACTAACTGCTGGTAGTGCGAAGCAACACCTAGACCTGGACCCCCTTTGTGGATGATCTTCCTGATCCTGTGACGGGCTTTCGATCGAAGGAAGCTGTCTCAAAAAAAAGCCATGACTGGAATACGAGGTGTGAGACAGCCAAGATGTGTGCCCTCGACTTCATTCTGTAAATGCATGACAAGAAGAGAGAAAAAACACGCAAAGCTCGCAGAGCGGCTTTCTGGAGGAATCACGCGAGATAAGCATACTTATGCTCGCGAAAGATCTTCAAGGAGCAGCAGTTGACAGATCGAAGTCAAGATAGGCTGCCGCAAGATGGCGCCGACGGGAAGTCATGAGGGTTGTGGTCGTCGACAGGTAGACGATCCCTGTGGACCTCCTGAATATCCCAAGACTACCCATGGTACACAGGCGTCGGTGGATGTTCTCCTAACCTTAAAACAAGATACGACTGACAGGGCCCTACGAGGTCGCCAAGGAAGCTTATCGAGGATTGACACAGCAGCAGCAGCACTATGCTTCAAAGCATGATACACAAAGCAGTGTCGTTGCTCGGGACCCTGCCGTCGCTGGTCCGCTTTTTGCAAGATGGGTCGGCTGAAAAGAACGAGTGGATTCTACCACTAACTGGCGCCATCCCTCGAATTCATGAATTGTGGGGCAGCCATGCTCTAATGTCCGTTCTTGACCATGGAGTACTACACAATGTACTCATGGTATGCTATGGTATATACTATATGAACTATAGTATACTGCTTTGAAAATAAGGTATAGTGCTCATGGTACTACGGTTCAATCACCGAACCACCTCCGCAATGTAGCGAGCGAGCTGGCCAATCTCGTTGTGTCACTCATGAGCCGCGACGCCTCATGGGCTCTGACAACTTCTCCTCATCAACACCCGGAACTCTAGATGGCTCCTGGAAGGGGTCATGCCTGCGATACTCGTCCTGGCATTGATTTTGGCACTAAACAGAGCTGTGGCGTCGAGGGCTTACTACTTGGGTACTTACAAAGTCTGATGTCAGGCATTCCCAGTTTGGAAACGAGACCCTCATCTTCTTTGGTGGGGGCCTCCTCCACCACCAGAGGTCCCGCATTAGCGCACGCAGGCAGCACCAGGGTGTGGGTGTTAGACTGTTTCACTCTGCTATATCCAGCGAGATCTCCATCCTCCTATTGCTTGTCTCATGTACCTCAACTGCACGACTAGTCCTTATTCCGCCACAAACTCCGTCTCTGTGGCTACAATTACGACTAGGGCGACCTGCACTGTGATATCTTGCCCTGCACCGCGGACTCGTCCCCGGACGGATGCACACAAGGCTGCGGGGTTCTCTGGCTCTGGCCCTGCACGCTGTGTTGTGCACGGCCACGGACCTCGCAGCTGGTCCTTGACCCTCGAGGTCAGTGAGGTCCAAGTCCCTGCGGGAGGCTGGCAGACCTTCCTAGACGAGGGAAGGTCGCTCGAAAAGGAGGAGAGACTACTGAGGCGGTTGACTCCCCCTTCCCTTCCCACCCCAAATATGGTTGCAATTTACCATACGACGCTGGGTGCTTGTGCGACTCGACAGAGCACAGAGAGAAAGAAAAGAGGCTTGGGAACAAATCATAAAAGCATCAGCAGCCGTCTGATGATGGGATCCGCATGAGCTCCCGGATTCCACCCTTCTTCACTCGCCTCCCAGCCATACGCACCCTCACACATCATATCACGGTGGCGGCCTCCCCTTTCGAGAGCAGAGCAAACAACGAGGCCTTGCTCTTCATGCAACCTCCCCTGTCTTGATTGTTTGGGCAACGCTGCTGGGGATCCATGCGTGTGTTCGCACCCAAGCCCTGCGATTCTGTTACACTACACTCAATCTCCTAATCGTCGGATCCTCTCCATCGGTGTCTGCTGGCGGAGCAGGGACCCGTCGCATCAGATTCTGGATAGCTCTCGCACCCCTGTCATCCGGGTGTGACAACCCCAGCTCACCATGGCTCACATAGCAAGTTGCATACAACCTGTACCCGAGAGTGACCGTTTGAGCATCTCGAGCTATATAGTACGGCCTCTTTCACCTCTTCCCCCTTCGAGCGAGGTATGTAACTGGACCCCCCTCCTTCAACTCTGGCAGTTCTTCTCCTTTCACAATACATAATCACAAAGATTGTGTTGCTGGACCAACCTGAATCTTACCAAATACATATATATCTTGTCCCACCAGATCGAACAGCAGGCCTCGAAGCCGTGGGTCTGGAGAATGGCCCAGTCAGATAGTAGGAAGTATCAGCTTTTCCCAAGGGAAAAGCAGGTTGCGGCCTCGCCAGTGCAAAGCCTGGACCCTGAACAGGCCTTTGCCTTGGCCATGGGACAGGGCACAGACGGGTCAGAAAGCAAATTCGGCACTGGCAACCTAAGACTCAGGATCAGGGAGCACAACCTTCCCCTCCGCCGGCGCAAGGTCAGCGTCCCAGAGCTCGGGCCTATGACCACAGTTCACGAGTCCTCTATGGACTCCCGTAAGTCGTGCGAACAGACCTGAAGAGGCATGTCCGAGCCAGCTGACATCGTCCTCTAGCCACACTGCCAGGACGACCGACTCACCATGAACGCTCCATCAGTGCGCCAGGTCATGGCTGGAAGCAGCACCATATTGGCTATCAGACTACTGGCGACAACAAGAAAGAAGTCACTAGCTCCTCTACGCCTCGCCCACCGTCATCGCCCAAGGACCTTCCACCGCTCATGATTCCCGGACAGACGTCAGCTCTCTCAACTCTGAAGAGACAGATCTCGTCGAGCCGTCTTCGAAAAGGCAGCGCCAGCACCGAGTCTAGCACAAGGACAACCAAGCCAGATGACTCTCCTAGATCTTACACGCCCGTCTCGGCCTCACAGACAGCTGGAACTCCCTCCTCTGCAGGTACATGGTACTCAACGACGACCCCCACAACGCTGCCGACACCAGTGTCAGCCACCCACGACCCTCGGCGATCTCCAAAGCCTTCCAAGCCCATAACAACAAACACTTTGTCCGAAACGGCCAAAGAACAAGCGACAGATACTATCAACAGCGACGCTGTCCCCTTGTCAGCCGTCGAGCCTCGAAGCGCCAGCGCCGCAAACCACCGACGGAATATGTCCGACAGTGCCAGCGTAACCGGGAGTATCATGGACCGCGGCCGTCCCAAGAAGAAGAGCGAAAATGGGCCCAGGGGGGGTAGCTCCAAGAAGAGCAAGAGTGCGGAGCGTCTTGCCTTTGAGCGGCTGCCTAAAGGGTGGAAGGTACCTGATGCGATGCAAATGTTGGACGCATCCGAGACGACTGCCCTGAACAGACAAGCCCTGCAACAGGCTGAGAGGTTTGAGATGCTGAGGAAGAGCGATGTAGACAGTCTCTCCAGGGTAAGTCGCAGAACCCCGTCGACACTCAATAGCTAAAGTGGTCCTCCCATACTAACTCGACTGTGTTTGTGTGTGCAGGAACTGAGGAGCCTGGATGAGCGATGTGAGTACCTGCGCCGTACCTACCACTCGCTGAGGGCTGGGAGGCGTAATCTCCACTCCCGGATCTGCCAATACCTCCGGTCCCCACGCACCGTCAAGTTCAGCCAGGAGTCTCTGCTCAAGCAAGAGGAGGCTCTCGCCGAGCTGGACGCATCCATCGACGACTGGGTCAGCAAGCTTGAGCAGGCCGAGAACCGCCGCACTCGGGTCCGCCAGAAGCTGCTGGAACACGTCGCCGCCGCCGTGACCATTCCTATCCATGGAGCTCTTGCCGGTGCCGGTCGTTCTCCATTTACGCTAGACATGAAGTCCCCGACGGCTCCTGCTGATCCCTCCACACCTCCACGATCACCCACCAAGGTCGCCTTCACCCCTCGGGCCGGGGCTTCCTCGCCGTCCCCGTGCCGCGTCGTGGCGCAGGTACCCTCGACCATCGTAGAGCAACCTCTTGTCGAGGAGGAGGCTGCGTCTGCCCCGACCGTGGGTCTGGGCATCGACCAGGCGGCGGACGAGCCCGCCACCGCTGGCATCCGCCGCAGCGAGGTGGAGAGCATCCGCATCTATGCCGGAGACGAGGTCGCCGCACTCCTCGCCGACGTCGAGCAGCAGATCACGAGCATGAGCAAGGCTACCGAGGCAAATGCTGCGCTCCGCGAGAAGGACGCTGCCGCTGCCGCCGCCGCCCGACAGAATGAGCTCGCCAGTCTCACCACGCAGGAGCGCAAGCAGCTTCACCGTGCCCAGAGCCACGAGGCATTTCGAGGTGGCAAGCCTTTTACATTCAGCGGCAACAGCACTGTTGCGGGTCCCGCCAGCGCCAAGGAACTGCCTACCTCTGTCTCGCCACGTACTGTCCCCACCACCGTTACCGAAACCAAACAGGAAGACCCCTCGCACTTCATTCTTCCTTCTGCCGTCTTCGATCCCAAGACGGCCACCGTTCATTAGGCGAATTGCCTCTCTCTCTATTATTTCTCTTCCCACCTTTTTCTTATTGAGTATTCACTTGCCTTCTTTCTCTTTCCGTGGCATCTTTTTCTTTCTTTCTTCTCTTTCCCCTTCCTTTTCTTTTGCTTTTGTCTCACTCATGATGATCACGGCCGACTTGCATATGTAATCAGTGCGGGAAAATCATTCATCTTCACATGATACCCTTCTTGACCATCCTTGAACGAACGTCAACGTTCTACGAGCAACGGCCGGCAGTCATTAGATTCTTGTACTAGATACTCGATCATTTTCAACTTTCCCTCCTAACCTCCTATCTTGTTTTCTCTTTCCTCCCTCCTTACATGGCACACCTTGTTATGCTGTGACTTGATTACTGTACCACTATTATGTTCTTTCAAATTACGGGAATGTTCTTTCGGCTCTCATTTTTGTTGGACTTCTTCCATCCTCTCTTGTCTTCCCCCAAAAAAGTCACAATTGAAAAAAAAAAAAAGAAATTCATGTTTTGGATGGACCACCATTTCAAGGGGTCTCATTCAGGGGGAAAGGAAAAGAAATAAAAAAAGAGGAAAAGAGCTACTTAGCTCATCATCAACGACCACCTTATGAGCCCTTGTCGCTTTGGGAATTAAGCAGTTTGTCATGCGACCCTATCTAGATAGTGTGACCCTTCATGGGACAACTTCAATACCCCAAAAAAAATATTTACATTCATACAATGCTGTTGTCAAGAGCCCTTGGTGAGAAGTGCGTCCAACTCTCTCCATGCGTCCTTGCTCACCTGTATCCCATGCTAGTTAGTGCTCTGTGTAGATGACGCCCGACTTCCGGAGTCCTGTACCATCCCAACTCCTCGATCCACCCATGCTACCGTCTCATATAGCCCGCCGATCTGCCGCATAACCGTCCGCAGCCGTTGAGGCCAGGCGAGTATCGAAGGGTAGGCAGGGGGTTCTCCTTTTCCACATGCGGCTCTGAGGGGGAAAAAAAACCTCCATGAATAACCACAACCCACATGGCTATGTTTTAAACCAACATCAGGCGAACATGTGGCAAAACAGGGGAGTGTTTGTTATCCCGTTGGGATACCCAAAGTACTTACAATGATGACGAGGCTTTTTTTTCACTTGCTTCTTTCTCTTCCAGAATTTTGTTCCAAAAGAAAAATCCCCTACTCGACGCAGGACATTGCCCAGCCACCAAACAAAAAGCCTCAATTACGCAAGGGTGCATGTTTGGTAGCGGGCGTTTCAGGTGCGACCCCCTCCTCCTCCTCCCACCCCGTTGGGAAGTTTGCACTATACATGCACATCCCAGCTGCAAATACTGCGAACTGCATACTGCCTGCGCATGAACCATTCTTCCGACAGGTAAGGGCCCTGTGCTCCCGAGCAGAACCTCAACAAAGGACAAGTCAAGCCACCCCCGTTGCACGATGAGTTGGTTCATGTGCATAGATGTTTCCATGGGGGGCTTTTCTACTAACTTGTGACGGGAATTTCTTGTCTGACCCCGCTTCTGCGGTTGATGTTCCCTTGCGTGTGAGAGAGTGAGAAACAAATCCGCATGCATGTAGAAACGTAAGAAAGGGACCCTTGGAACGCCACCCCTCATCGACCTCTTCTTGGGATGACGTTGTCGAACCATGGGATCGAAACGAAGGCGCTCGATGAGATCGCATCCTGTGTTATTTTCCTCTCCCTTCTTCTAGTCCCCCTCCCCCTGCGCCTAGATACGTTCCAGGCGGTGGGCAGTGCAAGACGTGAGACGAGAAGCTTCCCGATGGTATTTCTCCGGCATGGGCATGTTCCGTAAGTGGATGAGAAAGAAGAAACATTTTTGAATCGAAAGGAAGCCTGCTGACGTATCCTGCCTGCTTAGCAATTGCACACGTTAGTTTGTAACATAGTATGACAAGGCGAAGGGGGAGATTCCCACCCTCTCGCGTGGTGCGTGGCTTGAAGTCTCGTACATAAATCTAGTTCGGCTCAGGGGGGCTTGTTGAGATTGAAATTCCTCCCTCCTCCGACTCTCCCTCGTGTGTAGCTGCAGCGGATCATGGGCACAACGTACCCCGTGATTGGGGGCGCATGTTGGAGTTGCTTTGGTGTCATACGGTGCCTTGCAACTTTATGATGCAACGTCGGGATAAATACATGTATACTTAAGTACTTAGGGCAGAAGGCCTCTCAGTCATGTGCTATTATGAATATCTAGCATAGCGGTTCACAGCCAGCACCTGGAAAAATGTAATACTTGTATAGCCAATTCAGCAAGATGCACCTCCCAACTGCAGATATAATGACCCAGACTATTGTCCTTATACTGGTATACATGATTTGCTTCTATCATGATTAGATAGCGTGTGAAGTCTGGCTACAATTTGCACTGTTTTGTAAGGTATCAGCTGTCTCGGTACAAGGCTCTAATCATTGGACTGGAATTGTAAAGATGTTGTTACGTTCCACAGCCCTTAAAGGGGGGAAATTAGTCATTGAGGTATCAATTTCTGTAATCAATTGATGGCCATCTATGTCTTTTGATCTCATTTTTTGTGTGCGTCGACAATCTGCTTTTTAGGAATAAGCATGAATAATACTGCGTTATGGAGAAAAAGAAAAGAAGACTTGGGACACAAGTGACCCCGAGAATAGAAGTCGAGACCCTTCAAAGCAAGGAGGAAAAGTAATTACATTGACTTATCATGTAAGCTGTTTGGAAAGCACTCATCTTAATGACCAGCTAGCCGTCCTCTGAGGTATGCCCATCACTCGATGATCCACCAGCCTCAGGCGCAAGACATCCATCAGAGCTGTCCTCCGAATCCCGAACGGAACTGCTAGTCAAACCTACCGACGGCGGTGACGATGAGCCCTGCGCAAACAAGACCCAGCAGTCAGGATCACCAAGGTCAACCTGTCCAAGGCGCGCAAGCCAAGTCGGCAGCAGATGCCCAACCTCGTCATACGGTTCCAGCCGCACAAAGCCCTGCCACATGCGCACCAAGGCCTCGGCATGCGCAGCGTCCACCCGGAACCACTCGACATGGCGGACGCCGCACCCCGAACAGCCCAGGTGCTCCCGCAGGCGGGCGTTGTGCAGCTGGTGGTGGACGACGCGCTCGATCCGCTGGTGCTGCTGGGCCATGGCGTGGGCGAACACCAGGCTCGGCGCGTACCTGCACTGCGCCGCCCACTGCTTCATCCGGCGCTCGACGTTGGCGGAGCGGCCTATCTTTACGAGACCTACCTTGCGGAGAGGGCCTGTGCCTAGCCTAATGAGGACGCTGCTGGGATGCACGAAGCCGTAGATGAAGCCTGCGCTGGCGGCGGAATACGCCTTGAGTAGCTCGGATTTGATGGCCTCGTTGATTGCGCGGGTGGATTTTGGTTGTCCGTAGGGGTGGAAAGAGCGAAAGGAAGACTGGTCGTCGGGTGGTGGAGGGATCTCGTCTGGCGGGTCTGGCGTTCTATGGGGTTTGTGGTCAGAGTCACATCCTGTGGAAGGCTGCAAGGTGGGATCATGTCTGGATGGGAGCCTGTCACTTTGTGTTGTATTATCACTACTGGGGCTCGGATCCGTCGTCATCATATTCATAGTCATTGCTGTAAGATGAAGGACGCCATTGTGCCTGGGAATGACGAGCGTTGAAACGAAAAGCTGTTGGGTTGGAACCCAAAAATTCGGATCTGAATACTCAAGTAGTACGGCCCTGAGAGCATGAAAGGAGGGCAGGTTATCACCTATGTGTATTCGGAGGATTGCGTTGTGGATCAGTGCTTGTCTCGAGCTGGATGTCTTTTCGAGCGCTGTGGGCATCTTTTTCATCTTCTGAATAATAGTTGACTGGAGTACTGGCAAATCGAGATGTAACTATTATCGAGTTGGAATTGAGAAGAGGGATGAAATTGTTCCTCAAGGCCCGAGAGCATTTGATCTTATATCTTATAAAGACTGGCGAATAGTTTGTCTGTGACGCTATGCAGAATATATTATGAGTGATCTGACAATCATACACTCACCACTTCAGATTCTTGACACAATTTTCAACTAGTCATCACGAGGCCTGCAACTTATCACTGGGTCAAGACCAGTCAGCGATGCGTTCTCACAACGCACGGCATCTGTGTCACTGTGCAGAGGAAGAGGTAGGTTGAGTAGGGCCTTCTGGGCACTGAGAGCGGTACTTGTATGGAGTTGCTCTCTTGTTACACAGTGATCTAAGGCGTCATACATGTAGCTTCGCACCCCCTACATGCCACTGTCCTTCCAGCCTCCGAAAAACATATGCTGCACCATCGTCATGTCCGTCCAATCCTGACTCGACCCAGAGTGCGGCACGCCTGTAGCAAATCCATCGATAGGTAGCACTAGGGTGTCCCCAAACAGCCGCGGCTCCCTCATGCCCGTCATGTTCTCCCAGGTCACCACCGTGCCGGTCTCTTTACGCAGGTGCTCGAAGACGACCTCGGTCCATCCGGCTGGCCCACCCAGGTCCAAAACCTCGGCGTCCGAGAACGTCTTGACCGCCGCGGTCCGCTCCAGCACACGATCCACCATGGCCCAGAGCGCAGGGTGCCCCGGTGCGCCCGCGAGAGTCCATTGGCAGAACTGCACGCGGTGTGAGGTGCCCTTGATGAGCATGCTGTGGCGCCCTGCATCGGCCTCGATGCCGACAATGAGCCTAGTGCGGTCCTTGAGTCCATCGGGCACCCAGTCGGCCAGCGGGCGGACCATGAGCGTGTCCGAGTCGGAATACACGCCGCCCTCGACGGCGAGGAGCAGGAAGCGGAGGAAGTCGGCGCGGATGACGGTGCGCGGGATAGCGTCGAAGAGCTGGCGGATGTTGGCGTAGCCCGGATAGGTGGCGGCCACGTGGTCGACGAGAGCAACGGCGCCCTGCTTGTCGAGGATCGAGTAGGTGTGGGAGGGGCTCTTGGCGGCAAAGCTGGCTACAACTTTCGAGTGGACAACGCCGGGCCTGTAGGCGAGGTAGATCTGCCAGATCTTGGAGGGGATGTGCGGGAGGGCCTGGGGCAGGGTGAAGCCTGTGGAAGCGGTGCCAACCTGGTGGTGGTCCTTGGAATCCGATGCTAGTTGCGAGTTTGACCAGCTCGGGACGCCCAATAGTGTGAGATATACGATCAGAACGACGACGAGGCCGTAGGTGACAAGGCTGAGACGCAAGGCGCTTGGACTGCGCGGCGCCAGGCGAGAAAACCATGACGGGGCTTTTCGACGCTGTTTGAGTAAGCCTGCACAATATCTGTGAGCATCTCTTGATCTGGGAGGAAGAGCTGAGGATCAGAGTTAAACTCAGTGATTTACCGCCACCATTCACTTACCATCGTGACTTGTAGGCGTGTTAGGGATACTAACATCGACGTAGTCTTTGTCGCCAAATAGAATAGTAGAAGAAGAGCCAGCCATTCTGATCAGATCGCGAAAAAAAAACCGTGAAAAATCAAAAGGCTTTGCGCAATTCTCATGAGTTTTGGTCAACTGTCGCCACAAAAAGCAGAGCGACGTCCTTTACTCGAATTCTTGGAGACTACTTAGAAATCAAGGTCGGTGCACATCTCACAGGATCGCACTCGGTATATAAGAGTCGTTCAGCATTGTGTGCTGTGTCTCAGGTCGACCTGAAGGTGCCAACGGCGGTCGTGTTGGTGTGTACGGCTTCATGGTCGCTCGAGAGGGCCATGAACATTGGCCAGACGCATCTTGAAAGGACAGTGCTTGTTCTATTGTGCGGGGACTAAGGCCTGGTCCAGTAAAGATATAATTATACATGATGATGTGCTTGTGAGGCGAGAGAGGGCCTCACGAATGGTTCAGGCGGTCGCGGCCCGGGTAGAGATCCTTCGGGTGAGATGAGCCGTGTCAAGGCGGCCATATGGACGGGGGGATATAAATAACACTCATTGACGACAAGTCAGATATTGATTGAGCTGCAGGATCTTGTTGGTCTTCCATGTCCGATGAGACAAGATCAACACCTGGAAGCCGGAGGAGGAAATCCAACCACCTGGTTGGGTTTCACTGCTGCGATTTTGGCCCGAACCGAGACCTCAAACCTCTCTTCACTGAAAAAGTACCTTGACATGCAATGTTGTTCCTAGCCTCTGAATTATCTTACAAGTTTTCTGAGAGGGCATTTTTGGCCTGAAAACTTAACAGGCATAAGACGTGAGGTAGTAAGGAAGGAAATCCGGCCAACATGCTGCCAAGATCCCCTCACGGAGGTTGAGAAGCATGGGAAGGGAAACTAAGTACTTAGTATGGTAGTGTCTGTCAACCTTCAGGGGAAACTAATACTATGTACCTTCCACCCCACAGGCGGCTACGTCAGTCGTCCCCTGTTGGTTGCCCCACCACCAACACAGCAGAGGCAGGTGGGGTGGAGGGCCTAGGCAGGCGTGTTAGGGGCCCTTCGAGCCCCTCCACGATTGCGGTGCAGCTGTCCAGACAGGCATACACTTGGTGTACATGGCAGTTCAACCAGTACATTCTCAGTTCATGCTTCTACATTCACGGGCAAGCAAGCCAGCCTCGTTGTCGTCCACATTCTACATCACCAGACACTACCTGTCTGCCTGAACCTCCCTCTCGATCCAGTCGAAAAGCAGAACATGTCCATCACCGTCGACAAGATCCTCGCTGCGGCCCCCGTCACGTCGAGGGGCCAGCCCACGCAGCTCTCCGTCGACGCCAAAGGAGAGCGTATAGCCTACGCCGTAAGCTATATCACCACATGAGAAGAAAGAGAGAGAGAGAGAGAGACAGAACAGGAAACATACACACACACAGAGAGAGAGAGAGACTGACGCTGGTTCAATTGTCTTTGATCGTTCAGTCCGGCAAGTCCATCTTCCTCCGATCCATCGACGACCCCTCCTCCTGCAAGCAGTACACAGGCCACACCGCTGCCACCTCCATTGCCCGCTTCTCTCCCTCAGGCTTCTACGTCGCATCGGGCGACGTTTCAGGCACCGTCCGCGTCTGGGATGCTGTCGAGGCCGTCAATACCAAGGGCGAGTACCATATCATCTCGGGCCGCATCAACGACATCGCCTGGGATGGCGACAGCCAGCGCATCATTGCCGTTGGCGACGGCCGTGAGCGCTTCGGCCATTGCATTACCGCCGACAGTGGCAACAGCGTCGGCGAGGTCACGGGCCACAGCAAGCCTGTCAATGCCGTCTCCCTACGCCAACAGAGGCCCTTCCGCGCCGCCACCGTCAGCGACGATGGGAGTATGTGCTTCCTGCACGGCGCCCCCTTCAAGTTCGCCGGCAAGGCCAACCTGCACAAAGGCTTCGTCTTCGGTACCGCCTTCAGCCCCGACGGGTCGACCCTTGCCACCGTCGGCGCCGACAGGAGGATCCAGCTCTACGACGGCAAGACGGGCGAGCCTACAAAGAACATCGGAGAGGGTGTGCACACAGGCAGCATCTTCGCCGTGAGCTGGGCCAAGGACTCCAAGAGGCTCGTCACGGCCAGCGCAGACCAGACCGTGAGGGTGTGGGATGTCGACTCCGGCGAGAACACTCACACGTGGAAGCTGGGCCAGGAGGGGGCAGTTAATGTCGGCGACCAGCAGGTCGGCGTGGCCTGGGCGCGTGATGGGCTGATCATCAGCCTGAACCTGGATGGCGACCTGAACTACCTGGAAGTGGGCAGTGCAGCGCCGACAAGGACTGTGCAGGGCCACAACAAGAGCATCACGGCAATAGGGGCAGGTTCGGACGGCCAAGGCAAGGACGTATACACGGGCAGCTTCGACGGCCGGATCTGCCACTGGGACGTCGAGAAGGGCCTCGCAACTGTGGTAGACGGGCAGACACACACCAATCAGGTCACGCAATTCATCTCCATCTCTGGACAGGCCTACAGCGTCGGCTGGGACGACACACTACGGATCGTCGACGAGTCTGCAAAGACGTTCGCAGGCGCCTCGACCAAACTACAGGCACAGCCAAAGGGCGTAGGCGCATCAGAAGGCCGTGTCGTCGTCGCGACCGCTGCGGGCATCGCCGTCTATTCCAAGGACCAGCTCGTTGGCGAGCTCAGCACAAGCTACACACCGACGTCCCTCGCGTCATCCGGTCCCACGGTCGCTGTTGGTGACGGCAACGATGTGCGCATCTACACCCTTGACCCCTCCCACAAGCTGTCCGAGGTCACCATCCTCAAGAAGTCCACGGCATCCATCTCGACCCTCGCCTTCTCCAAGGACGGCGCGTACCTCGCCGCCGGCAACTCGCAGGGCAAGATCTTTGCCTTCAAGTCAAGCGACTGGAGCGTCGCCGCGGATCGGTGGTCCGCCCACACCGCGCGGGTGATGAGCATCGCGTGGAACGACGCCGGCACCCACGCCGCCAGCGGCGCCCTCGACACGCACGTCTACGTCTGGAGCCTGGAGAAGCCCGCCAGCCGCGTCAAGGCGCTGAATGCGCACAAGGACGGTGTTAACGGGGTCGCGTGGGTTACCGGGTCGACCAAGGTCGCGAGCACGGGCGGGGACGCCTCGGTCAAGATCTGGAGCGTGTCGGGGCTGCAGTGAATGTATAACGGCAGTGTGCTACTGGCTGCTGGACAGAGAGAATCCTTGACCTGGACGCGCATCCGGAATCCCCCCCTAAAATCAAAGGACGTCGAGAAGGTTCTGTATGCCCGTCTTGTCCGCCCCCCCCCCCCCCCCGCACACACACACACACACACTGTGAGAAGCAATCTACTTGTCGGTATACACATCAGCGATCAGTATGCTTTACCAGCTGCATAAAGATTATCTAGCTACATGATTGTCACACCAGCGCCGTGCTTAAAAATCCTCAAAAGCCCCCGTGACCTTGGGAAAGTTTTACTAGTTAATACAACCCAGCCGAGCCTCGCGAGCCCCACGGCTCAAGGCTCAAGACTCCAGGCAATGCCGGTGACAGCTTCTTCTCACATGTAGTCAGTCCCACCAGATTAGACGCCGAGTCCTGAGCGAGTTCTCCGTAATACTGTACATGTGTGACCTTTCCTAATACCTGCATGCGTTCAAAATACATCGAAAAGCCCGCGAAAACCACAGGCAAGAACGCTCGTAGATATGCAGACCGTCTAGGACCCAGTGTATGTAGAGTATGACGAGGATATGAATTATCGAATGCAAGTTGTGTAGCGATTGGATAGGCCCAAAACCCATGGATAAAGGGGTAAAAAGAAGAAGAGAAAAACCGCGTCTGCCGCGGAAGTTGGCTGAAAGGAAGGTCGTGACAAAATGTCGTAAAACTCGTCGTCGTAAAATTGGGTTGATGTCGCATATGTTTGTGTGTACGCGCGTTCTGTATTCCGCAATTTGCGAATCTCTTCCCCCAAAGTCCGCGCCGTCGAGAGCCACTTCGGCCTTTGGAGAAGAGGGTATCTAGCCAGAACGCCCGAAAAGGAAAAAAAAAAAAAAATTCAATCAAGAGACCCAATCGTCGCTGTCCAGATTGTGCCTCAATTTGGGGGAAGCCCTATCCAGATAGGTCGATCATAATGCTACCACCAAGAGGTGGATAATTCAAAGGGGGAAAAGATATTTCACACCGGAAATGAATTCCTTCAGGCATCCGCCATCTCCGTGTCAAGCTCACCATCTTCCTGAGGGCCCCAGTTGCCCTCGAACACCGTAGCACCCGCACGCCGGTGAGTGATGACCCAGCGCAGAGAGTCGACTCCGAGCAACTGCTGAATGGTTGGACGATCAGCAGGGTTTGGCGCAAGCATCCATGTCACGACCTGGTCCAGCGAGCCTCCATGACTGGCTTGAATCATAAAGGCAGGTGGGTGCTGGAGCTCGCTGCGCTTTGGGGCACCAAACAGATTGCTGGCGTCGTGCGTCGGCGAGTGCATGAACTTGCATGAAAACTCTGGCTGGTCATCGTCTGGAGCAGAGCCAACCTCCTCCTCATCATCATCGAGAGGAGAAATTTCCGCGGTCAATTCCGTGTCCCCCACAATAGGCATTCCCGTCACGTCTCGTACGAGGGCATCGGATTCGCTGCCCGTCAGGGGTCCTGTTGGGACAGCTGAGAAGTTCCCCTCGCGCAGCGCAAGCCAGTGAGGCCCATTGTCTGGAAGCCAGACATTGCTGGCGATCTCAAACATGATCAGACCAAGCGAGAACACATCCGCAGGTTTATCATATTTGCTCTGAAGGATCTCTGGAGCGATATATCGACGGTCACCCTCTCCTTCGATGCCTCGTGCAGCAGGCCACGGCGTGGCCATACCGAAGTCTCCGATCTTTAGCTGGCCCTCGTAATTGACGAGAACATTCGCAGGCTTGAGGTCAAGATGAATGAACCCGGCTTCGTGAATGCTTTGCAGACCCTGCAATCGCTGTTAGTACCTGGTACAGTATAATCGCGAGAGTTTCAAAGTGACTTACCATGCCTGTCTCGACCAAGATCTTCCAGATTCTGAAGTCATCCAGACGGCCTGCTGCGCCGACTGTACCCAGGAAACTCGAGAGACTGCCTTCTTCACAGTATTCGGTCTGAATGTAGAGGTGATATTGCTTCTCCCAGCTGTCGACATACTGCAGCACGTGGGGACGACCCCGAAGCGTCTTCAGTATTTTGACTTCCCGCATCTTGGCCTCGCGGTCCCTGGCGCCAAAGAAGGGGAGCCGGGTCTTCTTCACAGCAAACACCTGTGCCTGTGATGGAGTCGGAGGCGTTCCAGGTGTACCGTTCTGTGAGATCGCGGTCGACGCTGGTATCTTTGCGACCCTGTAGACTTGAGAAAATTCGCCCTTTCCAACAACTTCGACCTGATCGAAGCGCGACTTGAGATCCATATCCATGTCGGCAAGACCTTGGCCGTTCACAGGAGTGATGCTCATGCGTCGGTCGGCGAATCCCCCGAAGGGAGCTCCTTGTCGCGCCGTTGGTGTCTCAGGCAGAAAAGACCCGAATGTTGCGCCATTCGAAGCCTCGTTGTTAGGAATCGACAACGAGCTGAGGTCGGGAGGCATCAGAGCATTGTTGTCGCGCGGAGTTTTGGGCGACTTGGCGGCAAATTTGTCAAATGGCCCCAGAGGGCTTGCTGTGATCACGACGGCTGTCTTAGTAAACTTCACTCTCTTCTGACTGGACACGAGAGGGCCTATCAGACCAAGTCTGAGCGGCTCGGGTGTCGCACGGGCAACCTGCGGCGTGCGAGGCTTGGTATGGAAGGAGAGCAGCTCTGGCGTGCGCGGGGACAGTTCACCTCGAGGAACGGCTTCAGTCTGAGCGGTCTCAAGGTGTGTCTGCTTGGCAACACCGGCGCTGAACGGATGTTGACTGAAAGATGACTTACAGAGTGGGTCAGGAATATGCCGAATGTCGCGAAAGCTCACTGCAGAGACGGTGGCAGGCATAGATGCAGCAGCCGTCTTCACAAATGGCGAATCGGGGACTGTTTTGGAATTACCAATGCTCCTGAAGAAGACCGATTTGGTCGGCGTGGGCGGAAACTCGACACTGTCGGCCAGGTTCTGGGAGTCGAGATCGCAGTCAGGATTGAAGATGCTGCCTCTGCGAGCTTGCGAAGGCTGGAAAGACTTGAACAAGCTGGAGACTTTCTCGGGTTCGCCAAGCACGAAGCTGTCCTTGCGGCCTGGGGAGAAAGGGCTCGGAGGCGATCCGAAGGGGTGGTGTCGTCCCTTGCCGCCGCCAGAGGAGGGAGGATACGTATTGGATGGGTAAATTGGTTTTTTGCAGGGCGTGTCAGGCATAATCGCCTTCGATTCACCAAAGGTGGACTGTCCCAGCTCTGGGTTGCGGTTCACCTTGGAAATGAGTCCAGTGGACTTGAAGGCATCCTGCAACGGCCTCGCATTCTTGTAAGCCGGAGTCGCAGCATTCTTGGTGCCATTCTCAAAAAGAGGTCTTGCGCCCAGTGGCAAGGATTTGGCGAACGGGTGAGCAGCCCTGGGCCGTTCGAATAGCACGGGAATATGTGTAGGGGAGTCATCGGGAAGACTAGAGTTCGAGGAAGACGTCGTCACTGATCGCGACAGCGGGTGAGGCTGGTTTGTAGCATTCGGCCGATCCAGCAAATGCAGCGAAGGGTTCGGTAGCGGCGGTTGCGAAGAAAATGGGCTGTCTCGAGGCAGCGCAGGCTGCACAAACTGGTCCAGCGACACGCGAGGCCTACTCTTCGTGAAGGGCGTCGCAGCTTCCGTACCCATCTGAGCCAGGTGCCTCTCCCCCTGGCGGCGTCCCCATGATGACTTGTCGCCCGGGCGCTGCTGCAGAGTGGACCTTCGCAACGAGTCGTGCCGCCGCGGCATGGCTGCTGGCGTCGGAGAGACTGGGGGTTCGGGGGGGAAGGAGATTTCAGTATCGAGCTCGTCGTCATCGTTTTTGTTTCTGTCTTCGTGAATCGCGAAGTTTCGAGGCGCGGGAGAAGTCAAATCGAAAATGTTGGGCTCGCTGGTCGATGTGCTCGTAACCCCATGCATACTGCGTCGCTTCGGCACGGGGCTGCCAACCTTGCCCTCAATGGGACTCATGAAGGCGTCACTGCGCTTCAGAGGGCTGACTGATGTTGTAGGAAGCGGATCGGCTGCAGATTCGAACAAGCGTGGGAAGATATTCTTCGAGGCACCACCAGACACATCCAGATGCATGGAATGGCGTGACTGATGCCTGTCGTAGCTTTTGCGCGAAGTCGGGCTAAGTGTCGGCGGAGCATCCACAAGGATATCGTTCTCTTGTCCCGACAATGTATCCGACGATGGTGGCGAAAGTGATCCAAGCATGTTTCCAGAATCTGTGGTGTTGTTCAAGATGCGCTTGATGGGACTTTTTGGCGAAACACGAGTGGCGCGACCGAGGGGTTTCGCAGATGCTGCTTTGGGCTTGCCTGAGCGCAAGGACAGTTTAACGCCAGGTCGGAAAGGTGTGGAAAGATTTGCCTGTGAATGCTGGTGGGACAGTTGCGGTGCAGAGGCAGGTGGCATGGGTCGTTGTATGATTCGACAGGGAGATGGTGAGCCTGGTGTAGAAATAGTCCCTTCCGAACTTTGAGAGTAGGATCTCGCAATGTTGAGCTTGGATGGAGATCTGGATAAGGAACGCCTGAGGGATCTGACAGCAGCTGTCACGTCCACATGATGAACAGTGTTGGGTGATGGGAGGGTCAAGGTGCCCCCGCTGTTGTTTCCATAAGACATGACCAGACGGATGGCCTTGTTGGTTTGGCTGGTTGGGTCTTGTGTGCAGGCAGGTCCGTATGAAAAGGCTCGCTATTGATGGAGTTGTAATGATTAGCACGGCTTCAGAAGTCAGTCAGCTCTGTCTCCAGTCTCAAGCGGTCACAAAAGAAGGGGAAATAATGGGCATACAACTTGGCTCCTTCAGTGCACACCGAAGTAAAGGCTCGTGCGAAGCTGTAGTGATTTATCGCAGAGTTCAGAAGTATCGCCCAACTCCAGAGAACTAGATGAAGCCCTTGCACAGATTGGGCCCAAGGCAGCAACAGTAAGAGTCAGGAGCAGGTGGAGAGGTTTGCAGACTCGTTCAGCAGGTTGTAGGTAATGAGGTGGAGCAGGTAGGGAGAGAAGAACAGTCTCTCTCCTTCAGACCATCTCGGTGATAGCAAGAACAATATCTATTGTCTTTTGGTCGGGTCCTCCACTGTATTCGTAGGGTGATTGGAGATCTAGGGGTCGAGGAGGCGGTTGCGTCACGGCTCGATGCAGGGTTTCGAAATACGTAGAATGCTTAAGGATGTCGAGGATAAAGTCGGTGTCGGGTCTGCCTGGGTAGTTTGCGATCCGGTATCCCCCTGGTAGGAATCGTCCAGAATGGTGGTTGAAGGCGCAAGGTTGCGACGGTACGCTCAAGACCGCAAGTGAAGAGGCGCGTGGCAGAGACGAAGTGCGGGTGAATCGAGATCGCAGATGCAGACGACCAAAGAACACTCGGGATTAGGAAGTGGAAATCGGGAAAGGACTGGTCGAGGATTCTACTCTGATCTGTGATTACCACACTATAGGAAAAGGGTGGCGGCTTCTTTGCAGGGAAGGGGTCGAGAAGTGATATTATGGTGTGTAGAGTGACGGAGTGGTAAATCCGAAGCGTGTTGGCGGTTGCCCTGTCTGCCTTTGACGCGTGAATGCTGAAGTGTAGTCGCCTCGTTGTTTACCCCTTTCCTAAAGAGGAATGGTAGGTCGCGTGTCACCGCCCAAAAGTCGCGTTTTAGTGGGGCCCTCTCATTCCAGGAGGTTGGGAAGCCCCCTGCCGCCTCTCCTGCCCAAGCCCCAGGCTTTCTCTTTCTATTCTTCGTTGTCCGTACCCAATACACAGTATCATGTCCACAGTGAGGATTTCTCACTTTGCCACACACCACACAACCTCAACGTCTCTGTGTGTATTGGCTTCGTTGCTGCTAATCATCATGTCATGTTTGTTCTATAAACAGTCTCGCGGCCATCATGCAGTGATTTTTAAGAGTAGGTCTCGGCTGCATGTCAGAGCTTGAGACCGTCCACCCGGCCACCATCCATCATCCACCCAAATCCTTCCGTGCCCTCCAGTCTCACTCCGTTTAGCACTGACAACAGCCAATGGACAACAGTGGGAAAGATAAGGTCCCCACGGCTCTGGGACCGCCCCGTTCTCAGGCACCGTTCCCTTCTGGCCCAATCGCATAAATACCTGAACAACTTCACGATGCAACAGGGGATAGTGGGTTGGCACATTGGACAGGTGGGTGCGCTGCAAAGTTGCACGGAGACACCGACATCTCTTCTGTACGGTGCTGGCGTGTCTGGCGGTCGGCGACCCGGCCCCTTGTGCGACATGGAGGAGTGTTGCGTGCGCGCCGGGGGATGAATGCCTCCTTACTCCTGCGGTCGTGCAGACTCGTCCAAGATCACAGGCCCGTTACTCGTACCGGCTTCTTGCATGCATGAAATGCCCAAGAACAAGGGGCTCGTCTCCAAGGCTTCCCCATCTAAGTTCACAGGGCTCCTCTGCGATCTGTAGTCGTTGAATCATCGAGGCTTGGACGGGCTCATCGGACATAGTCAAGTCCCAGCTTCGTCCGCAGGCGGCGCGGGGAGACCCTGAGTGATGAAACTACGTGCCAAATGTGACGTCTGCAGGACCCTTGCGTCTATAGAGACTACATCATCGCGTCCCTGATCGACACTCGTAAGCGGCGCTAGCATCTTACATATACGTACACACACATTATACTACCACGACTACATACATATGCAGTACTACGAGCTATGCAGAAGGCGAACTTCAACGACAGATCAGTAGTGGCACGTCGACGCGCTTTAACAAAACTCATTCATCGTATGGCATTCGGACCACGCCAGCAAGCGGTCTCAGTCAGCAGCCTCGGAGTCAGACAACCACACCTTTTTGCCTGATCAGCGATCGCGACTGCTGATCAAAACAAACAACACATCATGCCCTCTTGGACCTTTTTAATAGTCTGCCCTGCAATTTCTCACATTTCATGCATCAGCCAGATGAAGTATCGTGCGCTATGTCGCTTCGGTCCCGGCGTCTCACCCTCCACACCCTCTTGTTCGCGGGATCATGTCCTATGCAGAAAACATTACTGTTAGTCTTATTATTGTTGACTTTGATCCTCCTCTCTGAATCAAATTGATCGCCAGTATGTTTATCCTATGGATAAAAGAAAGGCCTAAACAAAAGCTGCGGCCCGCTTCAGGTTCCTGTCAGACAAAAATGGCTCCCAATACAACTCTGACTATCATGACTTTATTATAGTATTGAGATGAAGAAAATATCTTGTGCAGTCCCCTAGGCAACAGTTCAATATCCCTTCCCAAACAAGCTAGTAAATAGCACAACATCACGCTGCATTCCACACTTATGTCATCGCAGCAGCACCCAAGTAGGCAGCATTCGCACTGAGACGATGCGCCAAAGCACTACATCACAAGCAGAGCGAGCTGCCTCCGCCTCGCACCTTTGTGCCGGATCGAAAGCAACAAGACCTTCCCCATTAATTCTACCACACACACGCGAGGTCGCAGCTATCGATCAAGCCCGCCTGTCCGAGCTGTTGACAAAGATTCGGGGCCACGATCTGTACATTGTGACATACGTCGTCTTAACATAGTCGATTTTACCCTGAGGTTAGACGGGAGTAGGTGAACTTAAGCGCGGGCAGCTCGGCTGCAAGCCGCAGAGCTTAAGTGTGCCAAACGAGACATTACAACAAATGTTGGGGGGGGTTTTTGGGGGGGGGGTTTGGTTCTGAAGATTTTGAACAAATCCTCGATATTTCGTCGAAGTAGGCATTTTCTTTGTCAAAGTGTAATTCGGCCAATTCTGGACCTGAATCCTTTTCCTCAAAAACTACAAAAAATCACATTGCTCACGCCCGAAGAAGGCAGGGCGCCCGCTGTCTTTATCTCAAAGCGTCTCCGTACTGTGGACAGACTGTTGTTCCCCGAGAATTCATGCTCGTTGCCAGGGGATTTGTCCAGTCTGTTACCACCAAACGCCAGGGTATCATATAACTCAGTAAACCAGAACGCCACCTTCTTTCGCTTCGCTGTCCTAGGATGTTTAAGGGTCCGTGTCAATTCCAATACTTGGCTCCATCGCATCACGTTAAGGTATGGGTGCAAAAGCCAGCTCGCTGTGATCATCATGCTTGCTTTGACTCATCACCTCACCATTCCTTCTACATTGCAGAGAACCCGCCTTTGTGTGCTTGAGAGTCCCATGAGGTTTGGACCTTGATCCACGAGGTAGAAAATTCTCACTCCATGCAGGTTGTTTGCCATGATAGACTACTGTTCCTCGCAGCAACTTCGAGGCCTCTCTACTCGGGGCCAACATTGATGCGAATCCATTCACACCAAGTGTCAATGTTCTCGAAGAACATCAGCATGCGGGCCAGCCTCTCCTTGGTGTGCGCTGGGTTTGGCGATGATCCTGAGAGAGGGTTCCCTTCCTCATCAAGCACCTGTCCTTGATCGTCCACGACGTTTGTAGAATCGACTGTGACCACGCCGTTCACTCCGATATCGACAGTGACATCTGCGGGCCTTTCTCGGAAGGGAAACATGATTTGTAGCTTAGGGTTTGGTTGTGGGTGCGCGTTCAGCGTCACGTCGATTTTGACCGCGCTGCTGTCGAGATGGTCCGCGTCCGCCATTGCATTGTTCATGAAGGTATCGTATTCATCGGTTTTGGCAATCATCGTCAAAGTGTTGTTGTCATTTGCAGTTGCTGGACCGGCCGTGGACTTCTCAGCCTGGCCGCCAAAGGACTTGTCGAGCAGGTTCCGTAGGAAGGCGTACTGCCTTAGAATGGGCAGCATGTGGATCAGTTGTTGAGGATGAGAGAATGGCAGCTCGCTCAGGGTCTGGCCGTAAACAGGCTTATGTATGAACAGGCCGTTCTCGTGCGCTACCCGTTTGGAAGTGCCATCTTTCTGCCTCGTGTTGACGAACTTTTTCATCTTTACTGTGCGTGGCTCGCTAGGATTGTAGTGCCCAACAACAGGTAATATAAGATAGTCGAAGGTCTGCATGAATGCAGGATGGACCACAGGCGCCCCGGTGAATTGGTGGATGTCGCTCCAAACCGTAATGGGGAGGGTGACTGGCGGGTCAAGTATGGCCATGAACATGACTTCTGGCAGCCTTGGGCTCGTCAGCAGCAGCTCGTCGCCAGGCTTCTCGGGCAACACGACATCAGGCGGCTGCTGCCAGTTTAAATCAGGCAGCAGGCCCTCTGGCGCGGAGACTTCCACTTCATCTCCGATCCATTTATTCGAGACTCTCAGAGCGCCCTGGTAGACCATAGGATCCCTCCGGGCACAGCTCACCAAGATGGCCCAGTGCTTCGAGTCCTTGTACCAGCGCTCAGCTTTTGCTGGCGGTGGGACAAAGTATCGTTGATTGCGCCAATACTCCAATCGCAGGCCTACAAACCCTTTCTCGTGCATGAGAGGGCGACCGGTCCGCTCGCACATCGCAATGATGCGGAGGTGCTCATCGGGCTTTCCGTCGTACCTCGGCTCTTTGCGTAGCTGCTGAACATCCCAATCATGCACCTTCTGCAGACTCTCAAAAAGCCCTGCGATCGCGTCATATGTCAACAGGACCGCCCCCTTCTTTTCGTCGATGATGCTGAGCTTGTCAAGAGCTGCGAGCGTTTCGAGGTTATTTGCGAAGTTGTCGAGCTGTTTGGTCCAAGCCATCTGGCCTGGTGCCAGCTTCAGGTTCTCCAGCAGTATAGCCTCCGCCCGGGCCGTGTGCTTCAAGACATCTGGGCCTGAGTAAGCAAATTGAAGGTCGACTGTCCGCACCGCGTGGTCTTTGATGCCGATCTCCAAGGCGATTGTAGCTCCTGCTATAAGTAGTACCTTGTAAGGTTTTCGGTCTTCCCACATCGCATCCAGGGCATTATTCTTCACGAGCCTCTCTAGACCCTCTTCACTGACAACACCCTTCTTTTGCTGTACAGATGGTCATCGTCAGCGAGCCCGTCAGGTATATTTAAGACACGGCAGGATCGCCCTACCTTCAATATATGTGTGATCTCCTCCAGCTTCTTTTGCCTCTCCTCGTCTCCACTGGGCCGTGGTATGGTTATGCCACCTACACCCATACCCATGTTATCGAGTGATGCATCGAAGGTGCCCATGCCCAACATGCTGTTAAACGCTGCGGCAGAGGGGCTGTCGAAGTTCATGGGCGCCGATGCACTATTGCTAGACTGGCTGTTCACGCTATTGTTCACTGCCATCATGACGCCGGTCGCGGGCGACTTCTTAACCTGCTGCGGGGACGACTTAGGACCGTGAGGCGAGAAGGCTGCGTGGAGGTTCGAGTAGGGCGTCGAGGCAGATGCGCCCGGTGTCGCGGCGGCATACTGAGGCGTCTTGCCCTGCTGCGAGGGCGCATGTTTCATGGGCTGTGGGGTAGTCATCTTGATACGTCTGGCAATTACGCTTTGGATCAGGTTGGAGTCGAGGGCGGCGATACTGATTATTGGAGTCGGGCGAGGCTGACGATGGCTCGAGCTCGAAGCTCAACCCCGCCTAAGTGCTCTGGCTCTTTCGAGAGCCCGCCGTGTGGAAAATGGAGAGGGTTCAATCAATTTGCAGAAACTGAATGAATCTGATAAGGGCGTAGAGAAGGACCAGATGAGCGTCAATAAGCAGAAGTTCTGGAGAAAACCAGACTTATTAATGTAGGAACTTCTGCTGTATAGCAGCTTCCAGCAACAGAAACAAAGAAGTCCCGGCAGGCAGAGCAGGCCCCCCGGGTCGGCATGCCAGCCGGGAGCCTACAGCAGTTTTCAACAAACATGTGGGGGCAGCCAGAGCTTGCAGGCGGCTGGCTGCTCCAGTGAACTTCCACCCAAATCTCCCACCGTTTCAAGCATATTTACATGTTATGGCGCTACCAGCGTAATGGGTTGTCAGAAAGAAATTGAAGCTCACACAATGAAGCTGGCATCCCATTTTCTCCTCTCCCAGACAAGACCCAATGAACATCCAATGGACATCCAATTCTCCAGAAGGTCTTGTTGTTCATAATTCAGCAGCAGTCAATATTCTCATTCTTTATGGCACATAAGCTAAGAGGCCAGTTCGAGCGACCTGAGAAACAACAAAACCCAACAGGCTTCAAGGCCTCCAAGTTGCAACTTTCAGCTTCATGTCAGAGTGCTAACGCATCTACTAGAATTACCCCATGAGGCCTCGTTTTTTTTCTTCATCTTCAACCATCTCCCTCGTCAATGCTACAATTATTTAGACTTAGCTATGACTGCATGCCAAGCGACCCCAATGCCCTCGACTTATTGGCAGAGAGAAGGTACCAGTACATCTCTGCCATGATGCTACTTCTTCTCTAGTTGTAGAACAAGGTACTATACCCATGGACTGAGTGTTAAAATGAAGTAAAATGAAAATCAAAGTACCATTAGTAGGTTGTCCTCGTCTTGGCAGTTTGCTAAAGGGGAAAACGGCCCCGGGACGGAACCAAGATTCGCTTGAGGCTTCTCTTATTCGTGAAAGCCTGTTAAAGGCTTGGTCGTGGCGGTCTCACGTTGCCATGTGTGGATTACAAGTTTTTTTGCGACCCGAAGACTGATCACACGCCATGAACACTAGGGTCAAACACAAAAAAGCGAATACGCTGGCTGTCTGACCGCAAGTCCCAACTAGCCGTTTCGCTACCATTGAATGAGCATGGAGGGCAATTATAAACTCATTCATGCCAACCAACCCAGTCGAAGACACATAATTAGCACCCACCGCTCTATCTCGGCAGGGGTAGGTGCCATGGGTCCCTGATCAGAGCCTTGATGCCAGACGATGGTGTGAACGGGAAGAACGGTTCGCCCGGGAAAGTTGGAGGTGGCATTCATGATTCTCGCCCGCATGCGATGACGGTCACGAGGACCCCTAGGGACTTTACGAGCCTCAAACCGATGGTTCCAATCTCAAAGACCGCCTAGCGATCTGATAAGACCGGGGGGTTCATCTCAGCTCGGAACCCTAGGAACAACTTTATGCGCATGGCTGTGATAACCCCCTTCTACGGTGTTATTGCATTAGGCAAGGTCAGGATATTGTTGAATGCTGTTACTTGAGGTTCTTGTAACTCGGTGACGCCTAAGTAATTGTCGAATACTCTGGCCCAACTAGGCATGCATATTGAGCTCTTTCCCTTTCAGTCTTCTAATTGTGTATTTGATGATCCGGTTGATAATGGCATAAACTACAATGTATGCAGCGCTTGTGTAAATATGTGGATTTCAGAGTATTCAAAGTATAGCAAAGTGTACGTCATTGAAGCTCGCCTCGTAATTAATAGAAGTTTCAGGTCTGCAGGCGGTCAATAGCAGATATCAGCATGCATCTCACTTGTCTGGAACATGATTTGACGAATTTCTGTAATGCCCAGAATCTTCCAGCAACACTGAACCTACATTATAGGAGGCATGTAAATTGTTGAATTTATTTTAACAATCGGTAAAATGACAACTCACTTTCATACTGTAATGCTATCAATACGAGCTTTAGGGTGGTATATACCAGTGTCCAAAAGCGAGATCACAGATGAGCAACTGGAAGCCCTGGCTAGTCGGAACCCAGCGAGTCGCTCGATCCCGTCCGATCCGCCATCTCCACCACGCCCCGCGCATACACCCACTTACCATCACGTGAGCCACAATTCCAAAACAGGATGAAATATAAGCAACCTTGAAAAAACTGGCTCAACAAGCCACGGGCGCATGGTTTAGTGGTATAATACTCCCTTAGCATCTAGCAACATGGGAGTGGTCCTGGGTTCGATTCCCAGTGTGTCCAAAATTGGAGGTTTAAATCCTCGACCACCCTTTTTTTTTCTTCTTAAAACGTCCTCGCTGCTCGTTCAGATGGTTTGGACATAGACAACCTGAAACCAATCCCAGGCTCAAGCCTCGCCGCTTTTTTGCGAATACGCCGCGCAGATATGCAAACACACACGTGAGGTTTTGTACTCATCCGGATCAGCTCTACTTCCAGGTGTTCGACATCTGTCACAACTTTCCGCCAGAATTCGATTGATTGACACCCTAGCTTGACTTGGGTGCAAACTCAGCAAAGGACTGCGCTCTCTGCCCATCTAGGCCTGGGGACAGGTTGGTTCATTGGACATGTGTCAGCGCCACTTCGCTTTACGCCGGACGGAACTGCGTATATTCTTATTTATACACAGCACTTCGCAGGCAAAGAAATTAGGTGCATACTTGCACCCTGCCAGCGGATCAGGTTCGTCTCCTGTCCCATTATCCGGTTTCGGGCTCGGCCCTGTCTGTCCGTACTTATTCTACAAATGTCTAAGAAAGTACTTATACGGAGTGTATCTCAAGTATTCATCAGTCGTAAGCCTAAGACGCAGATTTAATTGGTGACACGCGAGCTTGTATTACTATAGAAATAATTTAATTTTTTTTTTTATAAAAAAGGTCTTACACAGCCGCCGCACATGCCATGAACCCGAGCCAAGATTTCTTTCGCAGTCTCGCCATTTTTGCTGCACGCGTTGTGAGATCGGCTGAGATGTGGGCAGCGAATCTCGGGAGACCACCCACACCAAGATCTCAGAAACCCGCCAGAAACTTCCGAGATGTGCATGCATGCCTTATTCTCTATTGCAACAACTGACGACGCTCGTGACCAAACCCCTTGTCTGTATTCCCCAGATTGATGGGGCTACTTCAGATCGATCTAGCGATGACGTTCCGTGTCGTCAGTGCTTGCTAGCATTGTGGAGAATGCCACAGTTGCCCCTGCATGTGGCTGGGGCTGCCGTCCCGCCCTTACCTTGCGCCACAGGATCGACATCGCCTCATACCTCAGAAACTTGCAATTAAGGCCCAGCTTTGTTCTCATAGTGACGACAGTCCAGTCATCCGTTACTCCTTTTGGTCATTCGCTTAGCTGATAATTCTTTCGAACATGATCCCCTTGGGCTTGTGAAGTACTTTCATTTTCAAATTAATCAAATGTAGGCAGCGGTAGACGGGAAAACGTCAAACATGGCAGCATGCGGTTTAGCGGTTTACATGGTGGCACGGCAGTAACGCTTGGACCTGAAGCTTATGGGGTCATCAACATCGTCATCCTATGCCGTGCTATCCCCGCAAAAAGGTGAGACGAGGCTTTTGGGCTCTTGTGTTTTTGTACTTGCAGGAGCTGTCCCAAAAAGTTGGCATTAGCTCTGCTTCTAGACAATTCTGTACAACAGTTGGACAGGAGAGGCAAGGCGTTGTTGAGTTGGAAGCTCTTTTCCTCAGTGATCATCCCAGGACGGCATTGACGATGATGCGTCACCTGCTGAGACAAGACCAATCAGGTTGTTCAGTTGTTCAGTTGCCAAGTGTATTGTTGCTGCCCTTGGTTTGTTTCCGGCAATTCCACAGTCGTAGGGACGGGACATCCCGACCTGATCAGGCCTCCAGTGTGACTTCCCTGGGCTTTGAGCTGCCCAGCTTGGTCCTAACTATGGAACCTCTACACAATAACAAAGCACGATGACGATGAGGGGTCACCCAAAGAAGCTTGTATCCATGTTCCTGGTTGGAAAGGGAGGGAGCCAGTCTGCTTAGCATGGGATTGTACCATCATGATGATGCAATACCTTCCAAGAAACACCACTTGGAGTGACCCAAAGATGTATAATATAAGACCAGTATTCTTCCCATTTATCTCACCACATGTCTTACCTTCTTCATCCTCAAACAACAACAACAACAACAACAACAACAACAACACAATCAATTTCAACCACCTTTGATACCCATCTCTCTTTGAGATACATATTGAAATAACTACCAACCACATTCCTCATCAATCACCTACCAAAACAATACCCAACATGTCTGGACTCGTCAACAAGGTCAAGGAGGCTCTCCACTCCGACAAGCACGCTGAGACTGGCACCCACAGCACTCACAACAACTACAACGAGCCAGAGGGCGCTCACGGACCTCATGGTTCCCGCGCGGCCAATGCCGCCGACCCACGTGTCGACTCTGACCGTGATCACCGTGCCGCCCCTCACCATCACGAGGCGGGCGTTGCCGGCGGCCACTATCAACCCACCGGCCACCACCAGCCTGGCGGCCACCACCAAGAGGGAGCTTACGGCGCCCACAACTCCCGCGTAGCTAACGCTGCCGACCCTCGTATCGACTCGGATCGTGACCACCGCGGAGCTCACCACGGCTACCAGGGTGGAGCTGGAGAGATTCCCGGAGGTGCAGGTGGCGTGACGGGATACAATGACCCCGTCGGCACCCACGGCGCCCACAACTCCCGCGTGGCAAACGCTGCCGACCCTCGCATCGACTCGGACCGCGACCACCGTGGCGCTCCCGGCGGTGCTGGCACCGCACACTATGGAAGCGGCCCTGGCCCTGCGGCCAACACTGCTGGCCCCCACCGCAGCGACGTGTTGAACAAGGCGGACCCCAGAGTTGACAGCGACCTGGACGGAAGCAAGACTTTCGGCGGAAACAGGACTGTGCAGTAAGTCACTGAGTAAAGTGCGGAGCGCAGTCCTGCACGGGGCTGCGAGGAGGGAGAAGGAGGGTGACCAGGGGCTAATGTACCGGATTTTTCTACTTCAGAGACCACGGTGCAACCCACAGGGACCCTCGGGATGCGGCTCAGGTACCTCCCTCTGTCTTGAGGCAACACGTTGGCGAGCCTGCAATTGAGCATGATGACCACGCTCACGGTCGGTCCGAGAGGCATCAGTCCATGTCTCACCAGGATGCGCACCGGGGGATTTAAGAGAAAGGCCTTTCTGGTTGAGGTTCCTGGAGTGTAATGATTAGCGTGACCTTTGTCTCTGTTAATTGTCAGAGAATAATTTTAACTCAATTCCTCGATGATGCTATCCCTGGGGGAAAAATGTTCCAGCAAAATTTCATCATTCATAAATGTAGTGTTTTGCAGGTGTGGATTGATTGAACATAGTATATGCGTGAAGAGCTCTTATGTCCATGTGACTTGGGTTCCCATCAAACTCTTGAAGGCACCATCAAGGGCTTTCCTTTTGCTGGCCTGTCCCTGTCGAGACTCCTCCGAAACATCATCCATCGCATCTTCCCCGTCATGACCCGGCAACCGCGGCATCCATGCGTGTATCTGCCCATCGGTACGGCCGCTGTAGACACCGCCAGCCGCGTTGGTGCCTCCAGCCACGATACCGCTGGAGCCACTGCCTTCGCATGCACCGGCACCACGCCAGACGAGACCGGTGATGCGGTTCCTGACGGAACGCTCCCCCGCGCGGCCGGTGGTTCTGACGCCTGCGATCTGGGAGCCGGGCGCTCGCAGGCGGGTGACGATCGTGCCCTCGTGCAGATCCATGACCAGAATCTCGGTCTCGTTGGGCCAGAACAGCAGCTCCTTCTTGGCGGGCGTCAGGCCCACCGGCGTGACGAACATGGGCACGCTGGCCAGCTGTCCGTTGCGGATGCTCGGGCCGAAGCTCGCAAGCGTGTTGGCGCTCGTCGCTGCGTCCCAGACGCGGATCCGCCGGTCGTGACCGGCAGACACAATGTATGCGCCGTCGTCGGTCCAGGTGAGACCATTGACGGGGCCCGCGTGCGCCTTGGCCGAGACGCGGACGCCACGGTCCCAGGGACTGTGGCTGTGGGGGCGGCCGCCGCCACCGCGCGAGAAGATGCCGAGGCTGTCTTCCTGGTCGAGGAGGCCGAGCAGGGCGCTGGCGCGGCGCACGTCCCAGATGCGCACGGCGCCGTCGAGCGTGCCGCTGGCGAGGACGTGCTCGTGGCGCGGCGACCACGCGAGGGACAGGACCGCCCCGCCACCCGAGATCTGGCCTGGCGGGACCAGAGTCTGCACCGCCGCGTTCGAGCGCAGATCCACGAGACGGACGGCCGGGTGCGCGGTGCCGCATGCGACCAGCAGATGTTGTGCGATGGGCGAGATGGCGTGCGTGTAGATCTTTGAGCCCATGTCCCACGTTCCTGACATGAGCACGGTACTCGTGTCCCATATCTTGAGTGTCTGGTCGTAGGAGCTCGAGAGGAAGGCGCCCGGGTCGCTCGGGAAGATCGAGAGGTGGGTGATGCCAAATTTGTGCGCCTTGGCCGTAGAGTCGGAGCGGTGGATCGTTGCAATGGGCTTGTAGGTGTGGGCGTTGTGCGGGTTGCCGCATTGCTCGAGGTCCCACAGCTTGATGGTCGCATCAGAGCCACCAGATATCAGTCTGAGGTGCAGTTTAGGCTGTCAGTAAGGGACTTTTGTATATCCAGAAAGCCAAGAATGTATGGGAACATGTGTGTGTGTGTGTGTGTGTGTGTGTGTGTGTGTGTGTGCTTGCATGTGTCATACATTCGTCCATCGAACCGCTCAAGGGCAAGTGCATTCACTCCAGCCTGGTGTGCCCACAGATCTTGACCTTGTTCATGATTTGCTGGTGCAGACCTCGAGATTCCTCGAGCAGTGCTGTCTGTTGTTGCTGATCCCTTGTGTCCACCATCAAATCGAAAGTGAGGTGCTGGTCGAAAGGATCGAACGAGCTTGGTGGTCTCTAGCTTAGCGAAGACATTTGGACCAAGGGCGCCCGTCGCCCTTTCAAAGAGAGATTTATCCATAGACTTTGATCATTGTGCTGCTTGCCTCCCATGTTCCGGGAATCGAGTCTGATCCTGGATGGAGTCAGGTTGTGTTGACTAGGGGAAGGAAGAGAGAGAGAGAGGGAGAGAGATTTGTTGTGGCAGACTAGGTTGATGATGATGTGAGATGCTTTGGAGTAGTGGTTGCGACGAGACCCCACGCTGTTCTAGGCAGACCATGAGGGGCCGATGGGGGGGGTCTTGGCGCATGTGCAGAGCTTCACAAAAGACCCCAAATTCCCCCAAAGCCTGCTGCTGTTTCCTCCAGACACAACCCCAGTTCTCAAGCTTCAACTTTCCTATGCGGGCCCCCCGCACAGCCAACTTTGCCACGCTTTCTGGCTTTTGAAGCCCTAGATGACTTCCTTAAACCGCCAGAAAGGCACCTATACTTATGGTGAGGATAGCACTGATGCATTCACTACCGATCATGAAACAGCGAGACGCAGGCAGGCAACAGTATTTGATGCAGTCGCAGGTATGTACATTGTACTGCCCTTAGAATTCCATCTTTCAGCCTGATGGTCCAACTCACTCGTCCACCACTGCCAACAACAACAGGTCGCGTCTCGCTCAAATTTGCCAAAGGCTCTGCCCTGAGTGGTAGCCGCAAGACGTCATCAGGTCATCATCAGCTTGCCGACCCCGTCCTGGCCCCCGAGGAGGTTCTGTTCGCCCGCAAGAACGCACCTCAGCGATATGCAGAAAAGGACACCTATCTCGCTCACGAAGACCTCGTCGACAACGGTCGCGACATTCTTCCCGAGAGCGATATGCTCAAGGCCGTTCACGCATACACAGGACACTTCTATGAAGCGATGGCACAACGCCATGAAAGAAAAGGCCGTGGGCACATCCGGCGTGTGGATGAGCGCAGCATGGACGAGACTGCTCTACTGGCGTTCGGCATACTGCTTGAAGAGGCTGCGAGGGACAGCCTGGGAAAGAGCGGGGATCTTGTGTTCACCGAGGGCGTGGAGAGTACACATGAGCAGCATGAGGAGGACACAAATGAGGAGGAGAATGCCCAGGGACAACAGCAGCAAGAGATTCGTGCACAGCGCCGTTCACAGCGCTGTTCAAACACGCCTATAAATTTTGAAGGCGAAGAAGAGTTCTGGAAGCGAAAGTACTCTAAAAGACGCAAGGTCCAGGATGAAGGAGGTTGAGAGATCAGTCGATTGCAGAAGATCTTACCCGCGAATGGAGATCGAGAGAGAGAGATAGAGAAAGCCTTGCCAGGCATGACGAACTGGGTCAAGGCCCGGAAGAAAACATAACTTGTCAAAGTTTGCTTTCTGCTTCTAGGACGACGTGGATCGATACCAGGATCGTGAGAGCTGGTGGGTATCTTCCCTACTTTCTCTTCCTTGTTTCCCCTTGCTGACCTGTACCCGATGGATGCTAGCAAGATCGGTTACATGCACGGCAATAGCCGATTACAACCTTCAAGCATCCCACTCATGCCGTAATATTTTCCACAAGTCGCAGCTGTCTATATGGGCGTGCCATTGCGATCAGACAATCGCAAGGGTGCCTTCTGGCCAGCCACATGGTAGGCAAGGATGCAGAGACCTTGCTAGCTGCAGCAGACAAGGCCCGTCTTCTCTGCAACACCAACGAGCAGCACATCAAATCGGCGGGGAGACTTATCACAGCAGCAGATTTCGAGGTACCTACTCAGGTATGATGTAGGTGTTACTGGTACAAGCATTTCGTGGTTTCCTCGAGTTGTTTGTCTTTTGTTATACTGCGCATGAACACACGAGTGGAGCCCTCCTCGTCATCCCCATGCCATTTGCTTCATGCAGTCAGGTTTTATTGACGACAACGACGTAATGATGATCATGACAAGGACAAGGCGTCTGAAGGCTGAGATTGGCGCCATGAACTGGGCCCGGTCAGATGGAATCGGAAAGTGTCAACCTCATATTCAATCTGCATCTTCAAGCAAGGTGCAACAGGTTGTAGACTTGACAGGTCGGGCGCATTCCATGGCTGTCTCTTGCAGAAGCCAGGCGTCTCCGTTGCGTCCTGAGATCCGATCTTGTGGGGGCAAAGGGGCTCAAACTACAATACCGCCGTTTGACTGCACAAGGATCGAAGCATCACCGACATCAATCTTGTACGCAAAGCATTATACATACCACGTTCTTGCATGCGTCCGAAAGAACCGCCTCGAGATATATACGCACGTAAGACGTTCCATATTCGTAGCCGCCCAGCTGCATCCGGCTCCTTCTACTACGCGAAGACTCTCCTTTGAGCGACGTGTCGTCACGAGAGCACAATTATGCAGGGAGAGAGATGCGTCCTGGTAGGCAGGCGGGGGTCTGCTGGAATGCAACCGCCACGCCCTATTCAATCTTCACCTGCCCTGGCTTGATACCCACACCTGTACATGACGCCACATGACGAGAAAAAAAGACGAGAACCGTGCAACTCCTTTAGCGGTAGCCAGCAGTGCCCGTATGTATTTGGTATCGCTCGGTGGACTCTTCAGGGCGCAGCGGTGCTACCACAGCATGCAGCAGCGCCAAATTATGGTCGCTGGCGCGTGAAGCATATTACATTGCGTGCTGTTCGACATCAGGATAGGCTGCAAAACATACAGAAGGAGGCGAATATCATAAATGATACCTGATAAACTAATGCCATCTGAATTTGGCGCATCCAATTATTTTCGCGCAGAAGCAAGCCGTACCGTATATGCTTGACATCGAGATGCCAGACACCTGCCTCTTTCGGGCCCAGGTCCAACACACCTCTTGTCTAGTCTTCTGCCCAGACCTCTCAAGAGCTTGTCTGTTTTTGCAATACATCATGACAAAGCCATCCTCCGAGGTGCTGGGCCAGCCATAACCAGTGGGTGGGAAGCGCGTGAAGGGGGGGGGGGCGGGGGAGGTATGTTGCACCACACGGCACCCGATGAGCGTCGGTCCGGGCCCCACGAGATGAAAGTGACAGCTCACAATCCCCAAGGCAAGCCAGTCGAGAGAAGGGCTTGGCCGTCCCGCTCTCGACCTGCGATTTCTCTCTCCTCTCCCCTCCAATTCATAGCCACGCGGCCGGCATTGACCCCGTCACGGACGAGAGAAAAAAAGCCAATGACCATGCTCGGCTTCTGCCCTCCCTTGCGACGAAGGGCGCCACTTGGCGTGCTGCAAAGGCTGCCGTGTCTCTTGCCGTCTTCTGTGCCGTCCTTGTGCGTAAATGTGTGTGTGTGTTGCGCATCTGAGACCTTGAATGGCGACGGTTGTTGGAAGATCTGAAATGAACGGAACCAAAGTGGGATGCGCGAAAAAAAGAACAGAGAGAAAACCAAAGCCGACTGGTATGCTGCAGGCCGCCTGAAACATCCATAGCCCCGCTACCGCCATTCATGTGACCACAGTTTTTCGACGTATCGATTCTGGAAAACCACCCCTCGTGGACGACGCCGAGTCGACTGTGCAACTGGGATCTTGGCAGGCTCCAGCTGACGATTGCCGAGATGCTAGGTGCGCATGCAACTAACGAGGTGACAAGAACGTGGGAAACTTTATCTTGTTGTCTTACACCTCCAAGGTTCCGAATGGCCCCCCAATGCTTGCGATACTAGGCCAGAACTTAACGGAGTCGAACGGCACCCGCTGTGGTGGCGTGTGTGGTGGTCCTTGGCTTTTTTCCCCCAGTCATACTGGCGGGCAGGAAAAGACAAAAAAGAACATTTTCATAAAAATCTTGCGATAGATACTCTTAGAATGTTGCGTGTATCATTATTTGCCGCCCCCTTATTCCACCAAACGACTCACAATCCCTACTTTCAGCTCAACATGAATGATGAATCAAGATGTGACTCTTTCACTAAGTCACGGCGGCTCCTTGAGGCACGGGAAAGAGGGGGCGAGGAAAATAGGATCCAGATCTCTGGGCTGGCTGCCACGCCCTCGGCAAGAGAACCCATTTCCCTGCCTCAGCACATCCTAGATTCAACCTCGGACAAGCTGCGGCAAAAGTGATTGTCCCCCTGGAAAACAACAAACTCTAATCTCTTTCCCCTCTCCTTGCATGCCCAACTTCGGATTCGGATGGTACGTTCGGGGGGGGAGGGACGGGGGGGGGCGGCTTGATCTACTACAACCAAAACAAACAAGAAAATTGCTCTCGACAAAGGGGGGGGGTAAGGAGGGGTTTCCGAAGTATCTGTACTTCAGTTGCCATCTTGAGGAAATATTCAGGGTCCTCGTTGGGCAGAGAGACACACACAAGCACGGGCGCACGCACGCACACGCACACACACAAAACAAAGCCCGCCGTTGCGCAGCCCATGTGCGCTGGGTACTTTGAAAGAAAGATTGATATGGACCAGCATTTGCTTGTGTCGTTGGGCACGAAGATCGACAAGGCTCGCCAGCCTGGGACATGATAAGCACCCACCGGCGCAGGAACTCAAAAATAGACGCGGCCACAATTCCATCCGTCACCCCTCCTCTGCCTCCTCCCCTCTTCTCCCCCCCCCTCCTCTTTTACCCTTAGATCCAGTTTTGAGTCCATCCCCCCCCCCTCTTGAGATGAATAAAAGGAGAACAGGGTCCCCCCCTCAGATAAGATCTCATAGCACTCGCACTTAGTTCACGTCACGTGCGTGGAAACCGAGCTCACGTACCGCGCTGCGTGTACATTACAGTTGGGATGAAAGATTAAGGCAGTGGCGGATAACGCGGCCATGCCATGGTGATGCACACGTATGCATGCGCACCGCCCCCTCCTCCCTTCCGAAGAAGAGTGAAGACACAGGCGGTGTGAAGTGCTGCTGCTGCTGCTGCTGCTGCTGCTGCTGCTATTACTATTGGACTGGGCTATCTCGGTGTTGTTTAAACAATACCTTGTTGGAGGTAACACCGACGCCTTTGAAACATGTCTCGTGCGATGTGCTTGTTCATGTTCATATTCTTTGTACTTTTTACTTTAAACCTTAAGCCCTTGGCAGATCGATTAATATGGACTGTTTGCGTTAGTGTTGGGCGCAGAAGAACACGAGAAAGTAAAGAATAAGGGCTGGTGGTGCGTGTGGTACACTACCTGTCGCAGCTTCTCGTCTGCAACCCAGCTTCCCTAAGGCGATTGCAGAAGCGACATGGTCAAACCTTTTTTTTCTTTCTTTCTTTTCCTTCTCTCTCCTCTCTCACACCTTTGAGAAGACCACGTGGGACAAGGACCTTGTTTCGACCCCCATCGGAGGGTTGTATGCAGATACGAACTCTCCGAACGCGGCGGTCAGAGTCATTCCAGCCAATATAGCTTCACGGAGCCGCAGTATCCGACATAAAAAAGTTGGAGTGACCGGGGGAGCCAATGGCGCAAGATTTCGCCCCATGTCGCAGGTAGACGCGTATCATTTTCATCTCCTGAGAAGGGCGGTCTGAGTCTTGTCCATCTCTAGTTTTTTTCTTTTTTTCTTCTTCTTCTTCTCTTTCGATCCCCCTCTCCCCCTCTTCTCTCTCCCAATGCCCACCAACCTGATATTAGAGGGCGGTGATCAGAGCTGGTAGACTGTGTCATGCGAAACTACGGGCTCGGCGTGGACGACGACTCAACAAGCGCCCAGCCCAAAAGGACGACCCGCATGGTGTGGGCATAGTACCGCCCATCATGACGATGGGAGAAGGGAGGTGGGGGGGGGGGGGCGCGGAAGGAAGGCCACACACCACACAAGCCACGAGGGAAGCGATTTTAGAGACGGGATCATCCACCAGCCACCTGAGTTTTGTGATGATGATGATGATGATGATGGGGAAGCATGACAAGTAGTATCGGTCCTTTGTGTGTGTGTGTGTGTGTGTGTGCGTGTCCCGGATATGACCGTAGGACCGCGGATCCGAAGCAAGTACTGTACTTCCCCCGGTTGTCGGCTCGACATTTGGCGTCTTGAGCCTCCTTTGCTAGTACTGTGATCGATGCGCTGAGATGGTGCTTTGCTTGCTCGAGT